CTATAATTCAGTTTTATAAAAAAGAGAAAGATTAGTAATTGACATCTTCATTCCTTATTTTATTTCTGATGTCAGTGGTATTTGTTTATTACAGAAAATATGAATAAAATAAAAACAAAAAAAGTTCATATTATCTTTAATCACATCATTTTACTTTTCTTTAAAACAGTATATGAAGTAAAGAGTGAAGACAACCTCTAACTCTCATCCCAGCCCCATGTAACCACTGTCCACATTTTGGTAGTGGTTTCTTTCTTTTTTTTTCCTTTTTTCTTCTCTCCTTTCTTTTTTCCCCTCTGATCGTAGAAACATACTTCCAGACCATTACATACATATACGTCATTCACAGCTTTTTTAAAAAAATGATAATGTGATCATGTTTTTCACTTAACAATACCTCCTAGACTTGCTTGATAACATTTACAGATTTACCTCATTTTATTTCTAGTTCCTGCACAATATACACATATATAAAAAATCTAAACAATTATCTGAACAATTTCTTATTGATGGACATTTGGCTTGTTTCAAAATACTTGCTAATACAAAACATACTGCAAGAATCATCTTGGTACAGCTTTTTATACTCCCCAGTTGGTATCTTCTTAGAGCATTTTGCACTTGCCTGAAGATGTCAGAGGGTTGGGATGTCCCCCCTTTGAACTAACCAGATAAAGCTTAAATGAATATTTAGTTTCCAGACTCCCACACCCCCTTCCACAATACTTCATGCTTTAGATTCTAATTTATATGCACACAATCAGCAGCAATTACTTGAATTATGAATGCTTAAAGGCTATAGCATGTCTGCATTCCCATTCTAATACCCAATAAGGAAGAAAATCTAGTGGATGTCTTTCCTCATCCCTCCTCCATCTCTCCCGGCTCCCACCTCCACCTAGGACCAGTCTTCCACCCTGAAAACTGTCTCTAGGGCCTGCACTGAGTCTTTTTTGGATTCACAGAGAGCAAATTCTTAGAAACTGTTGCTCAGTTGAATTGAAGTATGCTTCCCATTCTTCCCCACACGGACCATCCTTCCACCCTAACACAAAGAAAGGTCCAGTTCCTTAAACAAAGGCTGTATCTGTGAAAGTTTTCTCAATCTTGGAGAACTAGAACTTTTTCTCCTTGAGCTCTGTCTCTACATATAGAACGGAAACCTATACAGAACACCAACCTGAAGCAGAAGGACCTCACATTTCCTATTCCCCCCACTTTTCAACAAAAGTCAAGAACCACCATCCCCGCCACCCCCCACACACCTTAACCTAAGCTTGGCCCAAGTGACCAACCTCCCTGTCAACTCTTTGCACAGAACTTGGAAACTGACAGATCTGGAAAGAGGGAAGATGGGGACTGTGGAGACCTCCCAGTGGTTGGCCAAATTGGGATACTGTAAAGAGCCCCTGTGCGAGAGGGTATTCCACCTCCTGCCAACGTCTTCCCCTGGAAAGACGGGTTAAGAAGGGCTGGAAATGGGGTAGGCAGAGGAAGGCTGTGAGTGAGCTTATTGTCCTGGAAAATCTCAGCTGCACTGGGAAGAGAGGCTTCTGACAGGTCTCTCCCCCTTTCCCTCACTTGGATGTGACCACCGTCCGAAAGCAAAGCAGTATCTCCACGACAGCCAGCCTTCCTCCAGGAGAAAAGCAAGCCTACCTCCGCCCTCTCATCTCTCAGGGCCAGGACGCCGTCTCTCCGCTGTCATCTCCCTGGGTGCTGCCTCTGGGCACTGAAGCTGAGCTCCCACCTAGCTGCAGACCTAGGTCTGCATGGCGTGCCTCTTTCGTGACTCTCCGGCTCTGAGGCTTTGTGGGGCGCCTAGCTCAAAGCCGAGCCCCAGGCTCCTAGAAGACACCCAGGGGTGGTTGGGGAGCAGAGCAAGAGGAGGCTGATCCAGGCAGGCACACCCCTGGTGGGCGGGTTGGAACTACAGACAGCCCTGCGGTGGGAGGGCAGGACCTCAGGGTGGGAGCTGTCCGTGGTCCTGAGCGACGTCAACGCCTGGCTATTAAAGCCCAGAGGGCCCACCCACCTTCCGCTCGAACCGGTAGAGGGGTCCCTGGCTAAGGAGCCGGAAATAGCTTTAATCAGCCAGCTCCGAGGCAAGGTCCGAGAGCCGGTATCCCTTCCGCACCCTCCAGAGCACGTCTTTGCTTTGGCGAATCTGAAGCTTTCTTTCTTTCCCAGTCAGTGTCATCTCCCTTCAAGGGCACAAAAGACTTTAACTCATTTGATGCCTCCCACCTTCTCAGCCGCATCCCTTCCCGAACCTGTTTCCCCTCCAACTCCCTCCCCTGAACCACCTCGGATCCTGATGGGAAAACTCGAGGTGAGCCTTGCGTAGGTCATTTCCAATTTTACTCCTGATCCCCAAATCGCCAGGCTGACCCTGGTAATTATAGGGCAGCTGAGGCCAGAACTGGTCCAAAATCCACTGCCCTGGACTGCACGTCGAGGGGAACGGAACTTAAATTTCGTCAAATACAAACTGGGTCTTTGGAACGGTGAAGCTTGAGCCTCATTAAATGGAGCGTGTGTTTGAGGCTCCATCTGAGCTGATTCTGAGCCAGGACTCCTATGGAGCGCGCTCCCTTTTAGTTCAGAGAACTCCAGGGGAAGCAGGAGAAAGCGCGGTCAAGGGACCGGGTGATTCCTAACTGGAAACATCGAACTGCTAAATTAACTCGGCGTCAGAGGGGCGCTGCCATGTCGCCATCACATTGATTATTTTAACGTGCCTGGTACCGCGCTGAGCAGGAAGTAGACGGTCAAGTAAGTATTTCTTGAATTAAACCCGAAAAGTGCAGTAAATTGCGCTTTTCAATTGTAATTTAAGTGATTCTGTCGCCCACCCCCCACTCCCGTCAAACCGTACAGTTGATCGCAGATTTTAGCGACATTTATTCTACCATCTTTGATGAGTGTGGATGGTGCAATACTTAAGAGGAACAAGATTTTTTCTTATCACATCCGCATATTTGAGGGACAACTTTTGTCCTACCCTATTTTGCAGGGATAGTTAGTTCCATCTGGCCTTCCACGTTGGCTTTTTCTGGAGTCAGCTTTGGAGTGAAGTGCTCAGAGGGGAAATGGCTTGACTACCATACCAACGACTTTTACTTTTTAAAACTGGTCTCCACTTCCTTCCCCTGGAAAGACAAAAAGCTTTGCAGTATTCTCCCACAAACATGGTTTAGGGGAATAGAGGCTTAGGGGAAGGGCCAGTTGCTCTGTGCCTTTGCCTGTGGAGTCAGCTCAGCCTCGACTCATCTTGTGGCCTCTTCAGAGATTAAAAGACTGTGTGTGTGTGTGTGTGTGTGTGTGTGTGTGTGTGTGTTAGCATGGGCAACTTCTTAAAGAAATCCATGGGCCACGCTTTTGAAAAAAGAGATGTAAGGAGGAAACTCAAAGACACAAACGAAGGTGTGTCTAACCCTTTTCTAAATCCAAATTCTACTCTCCTCTGACATGAAATCATGGAAATCAGCCCTTTGCTGCCCCTCCTTCTATTTGCAAGGTAAGTGCAGAAAAGGACAAGATGCAGTTGGAATTTCTTTGAGAATCTTTGGGAACAAAGAAACCTTGGGGAGGTTTAAGTCGGTTTCTTTTTAAATAGATGCTCTAATTTATCTTTAGTAACAGTAAGCCATAGGCATCCAAAGACTGCACCTGTTTCAATAATCTCAGTGAAGTAGTCTGATCCAACTACTTTCTTTGAGTATCACCTATTTCCTAGAAATGAGCTGAGGAAAAATTAAGGACTGCTGTTCAGGTTGCCATTCATTTTTTATCTATTTAGGTAAACTGAGAAATAAGCTGGTGCTTGCTTCCTGCATCAAATCTTCTTAGACACTTAAGAAGCCCATCTCTTAGAGGGGCACATCTTCTTGTCTTTCATTTCTTTTTATGAATATTCTCGTGAAGGGATGGTTTTCATAAAAGGAACATACAAAAAGGTATTGTTAAAAAGTAACCATGTATAGATGAAGAAGATGTGGTACATATACACAATGGAATATTACTCAGCCATAAGAAAAAATCAGATCCTACCATTCGCAACAACATGGATGGAGCTAGAGGGTATTATGTTCAGTGAAATAAGCCAGGTGGAGAAAGACAAGTACCAAATGATTTCACTCATATGTGGAGTATAAGAACAAAGGAAAACTGAAGGAACAAAACAGCAGCAGAATCATACAACCCAAGAATGGACTAACAGTTACCAAAGGGAAAGGGACTGGGGAGGATGGGTGGGAAGGGAGGGATAAGGGTGGGGGAAAATAAAAGAGGGCATTACGATTAGCATGTATAGTGTGTGGGGGGCACAGGGGTGGGACTGTGCAACACAGAGAAGACTAGTGATTTTACGGCATCTTACTACGCAGATGGACAGTGACTGTGAAGGGGTATGTGGGGGGGACTTGGTGAAGGGGGGAGCCTAGTAAACATAATGTTCTTCATGTAATTGTAGATTAATGATACCAAAATAAAAAATAAAAAATAAAAATAAATAAATAAATAAAAGTAACCATGTATATAGAACCTGGAGGACTACAATCAATCTTCTTTGCAATTGTTTATCACTTGAAACTTACTCTTTAACAGAATTGTGTTTACTACAGACAAGAAGGTGCACTGTGCCTTAAAGTTAGCAGAGTTCAAGGTGAGATGACAAATGAGAAAATTCACAGCACAGAAATTATTAGAGCCATTTCTAGCACATATCAGGTCTACTTACTATTTATAAACCTACACAGGAAAGCTATGAAATGGCAGTGATTGTGTGTGTGTGTGTGTGTGTGCGCGCGCTTGGGTGTGTGCAGGTACATACTCCATTGGAAAGAGGAAACTGATCACTTTTTTCTCTTTCCTTTGAAAAGTCAATCTTTTATAGGCTTTTAATTTTGTCCCTTCTGTGATTTTTTTTTTTACATTTGGTAGGCAAGTCATGCATTGCTCTCACCATTTCACTATGGATAAATGACAAGTTTCATTGATGCAGTTTTCTCCCTTTATTAATTAACAAACATTAAGTACTTGTCAGTTATAGTTGAAGCAATGTAAGTACAAACTACATAGACATAATCTAGTCTAAACTGGGTAATGTCTTTCTTTAAAACAATCATATCTTAGATAAAGATACAAAATTTTCAACAGTGTTTAAAAGGAAATATTGCATATTTAGTTGTTTCTCAACATTTTTCTTGCAAAACAGTCTATTTGTGAGGTGATTCAAGTCACTTAGAATTTTTTTAAAAAGACTATTGAGCACCTGCTATGTATTATGTGCTAAGGCTTGCAGAAGTGAAGAAAGTAGGCAAAGCTCATTTTTGTATCAAACTGACATTTCAGCAGTAGATTTTTTGAAACATAACCAAATATATAACTTAGAAACCTAGAATTAAGCTTAGATTCCTCTTTTGAGAAACTTACTGAACATGCTACTATACATTTGCAATATTTTTCATTGTACTTCTCTTTTTTGGACACAAGATTAGTATTGTTCCTAAACATCTGCTAATTTACCAGATATTAAACAGTTAATACTACTACTACATGGAAATGTATTGAATCCCATTGCTGTAGGCTGGGCTTTTGTATCCAGATAAAAAGAGATAAGGACTGAGTAGCACATTATTAAAATTTCAGGTTTTCTTCCATTCAGTAGGTTCATCCATTCTTCTGTCGAAATTATAACCCAATCCTAAGCTTTGACTTCAAACACACTAAATTTGGGGGACTAAAAATTACAAAAACAAAATATTCAGTCTAAAATACTATGCATATTTCAATTCTAAAGCCAAGAAATTCTCTAATTTACACATACTGTTCAGTAAAGAAACATTTATCAAAATAGTCTCTTTGCAGAGTGTTTGGGATCTAGAGGAACACCAGAGAAAAGAACATTCCCACTTTTAGAATCAGTGCTTGTCAATGGGCTCTACAGACACATGAGGAAATAGATGCAAACATAAAAATCACAACTTCAAAGCAATGAACTCTCAGACACATTCAGACCAAATTGCTCCTTCCACCCAGCTGGCATACTTAGGCAGGTATTATTACACCTTAGTTAGTGGATCAGGGACACCAGTTTAAAAACACATGTTAGCATTTGTATTTCAAGGCTGGAAGGAATCATGATTCGTCCAGTTTAACTCCCTCAGGGTAAAAGTAAAACTGAGGTCCAAAGGGCCTTATGCAAGGTGACATAATAGGCAAATGGTAGAAGAGCCACCAAAACTCAGGTGTTCTCACACTTAATATACCCAGTAGATTTGGCTAGGCATAAAAGTCACCTAGGGTACTTAGAAATGCAGGTGTCTGTGCCCTACGCCCAGAGATTCTTGTTGGGTAGTGCTGGGATGGTGCCCAGGATTTATTCAGTTTCTGAGTGACTTGATAGAGCTGGTCTGAGATTCAGACTTGAAGAAATATTATGAAAATCCTTTCAATTTTACTATTTCCAACATAAAATGTTGAAGTGGTTTGAGAATTTCAAAGCATAGTTTTAAAGACATTGCTACTGCTCTCCACTATGTCATATTTTCATGTATTTGCTTAAAATGCATAACCAACAAAAATCAAAGTTTGTTGACTATCCAGTCATGGTAAGATTATCACAACGTGCTCCTAAAATTGGTTGTGAATCTGAGATTCTAACCATACCTTTATGTGAGAAAAGACTATCCAGATAATGTATTTCTAAGGCAATGAGAGGAATATTTCATTCCAAGAAACATTTGAAACTACAAAATATTGTAACCACTCAACTTCTTTCAACATAATTAAAACTTTCATTTTTGTTGAGGATTTGCTATTTAATAATATATTCTCTTATTCATTCAATGGATATTTCCTGAATCTCTACCAGCCAGGCCTTTAGTTAACATCTTTAACATCATAAGTGTCTTCAATATATATCTCCCAAAACAGACTTGACAATTAATTGGCATATGATACTAGAAGTTGTGGGAGTCAAGTGTATTATCTTCCACAGCAGTATTTATGATTACAGTAAGACATACAGAAATGTTTCAGTGTTATACTATGAACTTTAACATTTATAACTACTTTTTAATGGGCTCCTGAATTAAAGGAAATCTACATAGACAAAATGACAAAGCAGTAATTAGAATCATAGTTCTTTGAAATAGAAAATGACCACTGTAGGTTAGGATTTATATTAAATCAAAAATGTCAATTCAGACTTGTGTTTTACATTCATTAATATATACTCCTTCAGGAAATTCTGTCTGGGGAATAACAAAAGCATATATAAAGCTTGAATGAAGGAGGTCTCAATTTTAATTAACCTTGATGAAACACGACAGATTAATGATTTTAACTTGAGAGTATGGGATTTTCATCTCTAAATCAAAGATGACCCCAAAAGATTATGCTTTGGGGAATGTATTATTAATATGTTGTAACTTCAGATTATTTTGATTTATTTGCTAATCTTCTACCTTGTTCCAATAAAGGATTAAAGGCTATGATTTAAAATTAAGGCTTGCTCTTCAGAATTTTTGAGATGAAATGGAAGATGTAATTGTATTTCCATCAATAAATTCTCAGTTGACAGACCAGGTTCTGTCCATGGCTTCACTTTATTTTCTGCAGGGCACTGCAGAGGATTCCAATTTCACCTACAAAGAAGAAAAAAAGGGCTACTCATATCATAAACAAATACCCTTCAAGCGTCCACAATGTGTAACACACTAGGAATCAACAGGCTGTGGATATGCTGGGTATCACCCCAGCCTTCAAGGAACCTCTGGCTTAGTAATGATACGATCTGGGCAGTTATACAGCATGTGGAATTACAAGTTTTAATGTAATTAGTTTCCTCTTTCAATAAACTGTTTCTCAGAGAAGGGGTTAACAGGTTTATCCCCAGAAAAATCATTAGAAAATCATTAGCTGCTGTGCTTTCCTTTTTGAGACCTTCCATAGATGTTTTCAAGAAGCTAAGCAGTTGAAACTAAAAGTGTGGTTCACACAAGGCTCCCACATCAGAATCACCTGGGGCCTTGTTATAAATACAAACCTCCAAGCCTTACCTCAAATTTAGTAAATTTAGTCTGTGACTATGAATCAGTACTGCTAAGTTTTAAGTAGCTCTACAAGTGTTCTGATGCACACCGGGCTTGAGAATGCATGGTCTAAGCAGGTAACTCAGCCCAGACTGCAAGGCTACTGACTAAGGTACAATGGAGCACACCAACTCATGCCATGCTCTCACATGCCAAGGGACCACAGGGACATAGACCCTTCATGGGTGTGGAAGGGGCCCTGGAAAGGGCAGATCTCACTGCCTCTTAGGTTCTGAGGAAATGGAAGTATAAAGAGATGATAGAGCCTTTCATAGTTGAGATAGAGCGGGAAATGGGACAAGGGTCAAGCCATTGTAAAATCTACTTAGTCTGAAAAAGGCCCAGTTTATTCTTTTAACTTAATCTATATGTTGTTCTTCCTCTTCTTCCAGACCCTTAATCAATTAAGTATCTGAAACCAGGACAAGAGAGAAACCTCTTGGTGTAAATGGACCAAAGTAGATAAAGAATGCCGAGATTTGGATCAACACAGTCACCTAAATAACCCTATTCTTAAGGCACAACTTCAATTATGAATCACCTGTATACATCATGCCTTATGCCGACCCTACCCAAAAGGTCCTATAAAACACCAAACCCTAAACCCTTATGTGCACCTGCTCTCTGAGGTCATCCATGCACCCATCTGAGTGTTTGCTGTCTGATATCAAATAAACTTTCCAGCTGCATAAGCTGACTGCATTTTCTCTGAACTCTTTTCTATGATAATCACAAGAACTCTCCAACCTCCACCTCTCATGGTAAATGTCTGTCACTTTGCTATTTCATTCAGCTTTCTTGTCTTAACACAATCTTTTCTCTCTTCCTGTTTTATTTTAGGCCAGTAGGGAGAGGAAGTTCTCAGAACATAAACTCACCCCATCCAGTGCTCTGCAGCACCCCCAAATCCTGGGGTGAAGAGCTATAATTCCCAGGCTGTGAAAATTCAAGCAGACACTGGACACCACAGGACCCTGGCTTTACGAGCTGGCAAGCCATCTGCCCTACAGTGAGCAAAAGTTCAATGACCTTTCCTTTCCTTGCTCTGCTATTCCTTGCGCTCTGCTGCCTGCACAGCTGCTGACATTTGCTTCTACTCTTGCTTTAATGAATTCCTTTCTTGCTGGAACTTGTTGGACCTGATGGAGAATTCTTTCCCGGTCAGAGTCAAGAACTCCCCCATCATCTGGGCTGAGGTTTCACCTAGGGCTCAGGGAGAGACCTCCCCAGATGCAGCTGCCCAGCAACGCAGTCACATAGTTCTAAGGACCCTTCAGTTCCTAGATTTGTTATGCTGTGATTTAAAAAATTATCTTAGAAACAATGGCTGATGGAGTTATTTTTGCCTTTTCAGGGGAAATAAGAGGGAGAACGCGGCTATGGCTTGACCATCTGTCTTGTGTCCCAGCCTCAGGAACACTTGGCTGGCTTCTTTGGCGAACAGATCAGTTCCAGCTGAGGGTCCAAGAAGGAACCCATGGCAGCGAATCAGCCTTGGGCTTTTCCAGATGGATGATCACAGGATGGCCATACTGGATGGGGGAATGACTGTGACAGCCAGGGCCAGCCCCGGCGTATTAGAAGGGGCCTCAGGCAACATCAGAGGGGAATTAGAGGAGTAGTTCAAGCTCACCTGCCCTTTTAGCCTTTGTTACTATTACATATGACGGGAATCCCCACTTGGCCTGGAATTCTTCCCTTAGGCGTAAGTATCCCTTTCACGTTTCATCCATGCAATTAAAACTCTTGAGTACCTAACATGTTTTTTAGAAATAAGGATAGGTACTGGGGATTTGACAGTGAACCTGACATGGCTGTCTGCTTGGGTCTTGTTGGGAAGACAGACAGACAAGTAAACAACCACAAAATAATATAATAAGTACTCTGAGAGGCAATCTGGGAATGCCAGAACATAGGAGGGACACCCAAACTATCCTCCTTCATGAAATACCTATGAAAGACTTAAAAGATAAACTGGAGCTGGGGAACCTCTAAATGGGGAGAGGAATGAGAGTGTTTTAGGCAAAAGAACTGCTTGGGCAGAGGTCAGGAGCCAGGAGAGAGAAGGGAGTCAACAGCCTGTCAGTGCTGCTAGAGGGGAGTTTGAAGCACTGGAGCGAGAATCCACGATGACAGCATAACACTGCGATTTGTTAGGAGCAACTGCTATGATATCCTCATTGTCCAGAAGACTAGAAGGTCAACAGATGAGCTATGGGATGCCGGAGAAAGAATTTGTTTCTTAGGGGCTGAGGGTCCAGGCAGAGCAATATCCACAGGGCACTTAGAGGAACAGGGTGCAGAGGCACAGGACAGAGGAACACAGCAGTGAGAAGCCAGGCTGGAGAGGTGATATGGTGGTAGGAGGTGGGGTGGATTCCAGAATGTTGAAGAAGAAAGGATGCTCAAGGCAATTCTGGCCTTTCTGCCAAGTTTTTCTCTCTCAATAAACAAACGGCTTACCTGGAGATGCTTTTCTTTTTAATTCAATATTCAATACATTTTGCATTGCTCCTAAGTTGAAGGTAAGGAAACAGAGCCCTCTATTTCTGGGAAAGACAGTGGTCTCCTAGGGTGACCATTACTTACTGTTGATGGAGTCAGCCAAAATTTTAAGCTGCTGGGTATTGTCCAAGACCTCAATCCTTTGTGTGTATGGGTCATACCGAACTGAAAAGGGTCGTGGGATTGTAGCAGCAAACCTCCTGAAACCAAAATCACAGGCCTCAGTGAAGGGCTCCATTTAAGGAAAAATAAAGGATTTCTCAGCAGCATTCACCTGGCTTAACTGTAGCATTGAAACCTCACTAGAACAGGGGCTTTGGAAGCCAAACTGAGAAATGAAGTGGGGTTTCAGGGAGGTCAACTTGGGCAGCCTTGGTGTGCTGTGTGTGTGTGTGTAGGTGTGTGTGTATACAAACACACACACAAATACTTATTTAGTCACCTACCTCTAAAAAGACAGAGGTAGCTTACAGTAAAAACACAGAATATAATAAAGTCAAAATTCTTTTTTTTTTAAATTAAAGTATCATTGATATACACTCTTATGAAGGATTCATATGAAAAACACTGTGGTTACTACATTCACCCATATTATCAGGTCCCCCCCATACTCCATTGAAGTCACTGTCCATCAGTATAGTAAGATGCCACAGTCACTACTTGTCTTTGTGCTACACAGTCTTCCCCGTGACCTCACACACACCATGTGTACCAGTCATAGTACCCCTCAATCCCCTCTCCCTCACTCTCTATCCACCCTCTCCCATCCCTCCTCTTTGGTAACCACTAGTCACTTCTTGGAGTCTGTGAGTCTGCTGCTGTTTTGTTCCTTCAGTTTTGCTTCATTGTTATACTCCACAAATGAGTGAAATCATTTGGTGTCTCTTTTTCTCTACCTGGCTTATTTCACTGAGCATAATACCCTCCAGTTCCATCCATGTTGTTGCAAATGTAGGATCTGTTTCTTTCTTATGGCTGAATAGTAGTCCATTGTGTATAGGTACCACATCTTCATTATCCATTCATCTACTGATGGACACTTAGGTTGCTTCCCTATTTTGGCTATTGTAAATAGTGCTGCAATAAACATAGGGGTGCATATGTCTTTTTGAATCTGAGATCTTGCTTTCTTTGGGTAAATTCCTAGGAGTGGAATTCCTGCGTCAAATAGTATTTCTATTTTTAGTTTTTTGATGAACCTCCATACTGTTTTCCACAATGGTTGAACTAATTTACATTCCCACCAACAGTGTAGGAGGGTTCCCCTTTCTCCACAGCCTCACCAGCATTTGTTGTTCCTACTCTTTTGGATGTTGGCCATCCTGACTGGTGCGAGGTGATATCTCATTGTGGTTTTAATTTGCATTTCCCTGATAATTAGCGATTTGGAGCATCTATTCATGTGCCTGTTGGCCATCTGAATTTCTTCCTTGGAGAATTGTCTGTTCATATTCCCTGCCCATTTATTAATAGGGTGATTTGCTTTTTGGGTGCAGAGGGATGTGAGTTCTTTATGTATTTTAGATGTTAACCCCTTGTAGGACAGGTTGTTTACAAATAAATTCCCCCATACTGTAGGATGTCTTTTTGTTCTACTGATGGTGTCCTCTGCTGTACAGAAGGTTTTTAGTTTGATGTAGTCCCATTTATTCATTTTTGCTTATGTTTCCCTTGCCCAAGGAGATGTGTTCAGGAAAAAGTTGCTCGTGTTTATATTCAAGAGATTTTTGCCTATGTTTTCTTCTAAGAGTTTTATGGTTTCATGACTTAACATTCAGGTCTTTGATCCATTTTGAGTTTACTTTTGTGTATGGGGTTAGATAATAATCCAGTTTCATTCTCTTACATGTAGCTGTCCAGTTTTGCCAACACCAGGTGTTGAAGAGGCTGTCGTTTCCCCATTGTATGTCCATGGCTCCTTTATCATATATTAAGTGACAATGTGTGCTTGTGTTTATATTTGGGTTCTCTATTTTGTTCATTTGATCTATGTGTCTGTTCTTGTGCCAAATTGTCTTGATTTCTGTGAGTTTGTAGTAGAGCTTGAAGTCAGGAGCATAATCCATCCAGCTTTATTCTTCCTTCTCAGGATTGCTTTGGCTATTTGGGGTCTTTTGGGGCTCCATATGAATTTTAGAACTATTTACTCTAGTTTGTTTAAGAATACCATTAGTATTTTGATAGGGAGTGCATTGAATCTGAAGGTTGCTTTAAGCAGAATGGCCATTTTGACAATATTGATTCTTCCTATCCATGAGCATGGGATGTATTTCCTTTTATTGGTATCTTCTGTAATTTCTCTCATGAGTGTCTTGTAGTTTTCAGGGTATAGGTCTTTCACTTCCTTGGTTAGGTTTATTCCTAGGTATTTTAATCTTTTTGATGCAATTGTGAATGGAATTGTTTTCCTGATTTCTCTTTCTGCTAGCTCATTGTTAGTATATAGGAATGCAACAGATTTCTGTGTATTGATTTTGTATCCTGCAACTTTGCTGACTTCATTTATTAGTTCTAGTAGTTTTGGTGTGGATTCTTTAGGGTTTTTATGTACAATATCATGTCATCTGAAAACGGTGACAGTTTAACTTCTTCCTTACCAATCTGGATGCCTTTATTTCTTTGTTTTGTCTTATTGCCATGGCTAGGACCACCAGAACTATGTTGAATAAAAGTGGGGAGAGTGGGCATCCTTGTCTTATTCCTGATCTTAAAAGAAAAGCTTTCAGCTTCTCACTGTTAAGTATGATGTTGGCTATGGGTTTGTCATATATAGCCTTTATTATGTTGAGGTACTTGCCCTCTATACACATTTTGTTAAGAGTTTTTATCATGAATTTTGTTGACTGCTTTTTCAGCATTTATGGAGATGATCACATGGTTTTTGTCCTTCTTTTTGTTGATGTGGTGGATGATGTTGATGGATTTTTTAATATTGTACCATCCTTGCATCCCTGGAATAAATCCTATTTGATCATGATGGATGATCTTTTTGATGTATTTTTTAATTCAATTTGCTAATATTTTGTTGAGGATTTTTGCATCTGTATTCATCAGGGATATTGGTATGTAATTTTCTTTTTTTGTGGTGTCTTTGCCTGGTTTTGCTATTAGAGTGATGCTGGCCTCATGGAATGAGTTTGGAAGGATTCCCTCCTCTTCTACTTTTTGGAAAACCTTAAGGATGATGGGGATTAGGTCTTCACTAAATGTTTTATAAAATTCAGCAGTGAAGCCATCTGGTCCAGGAGTTTTGTTCTTAGGTAGGTTTTGGATTACCAATACAATTTTGTTGCTGGTAATTGGTCTGTTCAGATTTTCTGTTTCTTCCTGAATCAGCCTTGGAAGGTTTTATTTTTCTAGAAAGTTGTACATTTCTTCTAGGTTATCCAGTTTGTTAGCATATAATTTTTCATAGTATTGCCTAATAATTCTTTGTATTTCTGTGGTGTCTCATGATTTTTCCTTTCTCATTTCTGATTCTGTTTATGTGTGCAGACTCTCTCTTTTTCTTGATAAGTCTGGCTAGGGGTTTATTTGTTCATTTTTCTCGAAGAACCAGCTCCTGCTTTCATTGATTCCTTCTACTGTTTTATTCTTCTTGATTTTATTTTTTTTCTGCTCTAATCTTTATTATGTCCCTCCTTCTACTGACTTAGGGCCTCATTTGTTCTTCTTTTTCTGGTTTCCTTAATTGTGAATTTAGACTGTTCATATGGGATTGCTCTTCTTTCCTGATATAAGCCTGTATATCAATATACTTTCCTCTTAACATGGCCTTTACTGCATCCCACAGATTTTGCAGTGTTGAGTCATTGTTGTCATTTGTCTCCATATTTTGCTTGATCTCTTTTTTTATTTTGTCATTGATCCCTTTATTATTTAGGAGCATGTTGTTAAGCCTCCATATGTTTGTGGGCTTTTTTGTTTTCTTTGCTTAGTTCATTTCTAGTTTCATACCTTTGTGGTCTGAGAAGCTAGTTGGTACAATTTCAATCTTTTTTAATTTACTGAGGCTCTTTTTATGGCCACGTATATGTCTATTCTTGAAAATGTTCCATGTGCACTTGAGAAGAATATGTATCCTACTGCTTTCAGGTGGAGTGTTCTGTAGATGTCCGTTAAGTCCATCTGTTCTAATGTGTTGTTCAGTGCCTCTGTATCCTGACTTATTTTCTGCCTGGTTGATCTGTCCTTTGGAGTGAGTGGTGTGTTGAAGTCTCCTAAAATAAATGCATTGCATTCTATTCCCCCCTTTAATTCTGTTAGTATTTGTTGTACATATTTGGGTGCTCCTATGTTGGGAACATAGATATTTATAATGGTTATATCTTCTTGTTGGACTAACCCCTTTGTCATTATGTGATGTCCTTGTTTATGTCTTGTTACTTTCTTTGTTTTGAAGTCTTTTTTGTCTGATACAAGTTCTGCAATACCTGCTTATTTCTCCCTCTTACTTGCATGAAATACCTTTTGCCATCCCTTCACTTTTAGTATGTGTATGTCTTTGGGTTTGAAGTGAGTCTCTTGTAGGCAGCATATAGATGGGTCTTGTTTTTTTATCCATTCAGTGATTCCAAATCTTTTGATTGGTGCATTCAGAGCATTTACATTTAGGGTGATTATCAATAGGTATGTACTTATTGCTATTGCAGGCTTTAGATTTGTGGTTACCAAAGATTCAAGGGTAACTTCCTTACTATCTAACAGTCTAATTTAACTCACTTAGTATGCTATTACAAACACAATCTAAAGGTTCTTTTTTCTTTAATCCTCCTTTTTATTCCTCTTCCATTCTTCATATATTAGGTGTCATATTCTGTCCTTTTTGTCTATCCCTTCACTGACTTTGGGGGTCGTTGATTTAATTTTGCATTTGCTTAATAATTAATTGTTCTACTTTCTTTACTGAGGATTTATTACCCTTGGTGACATCTCTTTACCCTTAGGAACACTTATTTCTATAGCAACCCTCCAAAATACACTATAGAGACAGTTTTTTGGGGGTATATTCTCTCAGCTTTTGCTTATTGGGAACTTCTTTAATCCCTCCTTTAAATGTAAATGATAATCTTGCTGGGTAGAGTGTTCTTGGCTCTAGGCCCTTCTGCTCATTGCATTAAATATATCATGTCACTCCCTTCTGGCCTGTAAGGTTTCTGCTGAGAAGTCTGATGATAGCCTGATGGGATTTCCTTTGTATGTGATCTTTTTTTTCTCTCTGGCTGCTTTTACTAGTCTGTCTTTATCCTTTATCTTTGCCATTTTCATTATTATATGTCTTGTTATCTTTCTTGGGTCCCTGGTTTTGGGAGATCTGTGCACCTCCATGGCCTGAGAGACTATCTCCTTCCCCAGGTTGGGGAAATTCTCAGAAATTACTCTGAAAAGACACTCTCTATCCCTTTTTCTCTCTCTTCTTCTTCTGGTACCCCTATAATGCAAATGTTGTTGTGTTTGGATTGGTCACACAGTTCTCTCAATATTCTTTCATTTCCAGAGATCCTTTTTTCTCTCTGTGCCTCAGCTTCTTTTCATTCCTGTTCTCAATTTCTGTTTCATTTACTGTCTCCTCTACTTCATCTAATCTGCTTTTAAATCCTTCCATTGTATATTTCATTTCAGATACTGAATTCTTCAACATTTGTATCTCATTCCTGAATTCCTCCCTGAGTTCTTAAATATTTTTCTGTAGCTCCATAAACATGTTTATGATTTTTATTTTTAAATCTCTTTCAGGAAGATTGATGAGTTCACTTTCACTTGGCCCTCTTTCTGGTGTTTGTGGGATTTGGTTTGAACAAGTTTCCTTTGATGTTTCATATTTGTAGGTGGTGCCCTCTAGTGCCCAGAATCTCTACTCTCTGGAGCTGCTCATCCCCTGGAGCAATGGTGGGGGAACACAGGCAAGTGGCACTGATGCCTGTCAGGAGGAAAGAGCTCTTTTCTGCTTCCTGGCTGCAGTGCCTATCTTCACTGCCAGGGCTAATGGGCTGAGCACACAGGGAGAAGCATCTATGCTTTACATTTGTAGCTGCCATAGGTGGGGCCACCCTCTGGCTGGCCTGACGCAATGATGGGGGCAGTCGGTTTGTGAGCTGGTGATGGCCAGGAGGAAGGCACAGCAGGCTGCTTATCATGGTGGGGTAGCCTTGTAGCTGCATAGTCAGCCAGGGGAAAGGAGTGCCTGAAGCTCCTGAAAGTTCCCAACCTGCTCAGCAGAGTGCACCTGGACAATTTTGTCCACCTGTTCTTTCTCCTGAACAGCAAGCCCTGTGCAATCCTTGCCGCTTTAGCAGCCCTCTCACTCTTAGCAAGTCTCTCAGACTGCCCGCCTTTCTTTTGTCCCAGAGTAGCCAGTTGTGGATACGTGTTTTCCACAAGTGGTTGGAATCTCAGTCTCTCCAAGTATTCCACCTGTCTTAGCTTTCCAACCCCACGAGTCTCCACAGCACCATGTAAGTAGGTTCATGCTCCCAGAACAAATCTCCATGGCTGGGTGTTCAGCAGTCCTAGGCCTCCACCCCCTCCCTGCTCCATTTCTCTTCCTCCCTCTGGTGAGCTGGGGTAGAGGAAGGCCTTGGGTTTCTCCAGATCATGGCTTTGGTACTTTACCATTTTCCTTGAGGTTGGCTGTTTTCCCCAGGTGTAGGAAAATCTGCCACAGCCTTCTTTCCTGTTGCTCTTTCAGGATTGGATGTATTTGCTATATTTTCACATTAGATGTGGTTTTGGGAGGAGGTTTCTTTTTCACCTCTCATGCCACCATTTTTAATCCCAATCAAGGCCAAAACTCTTATCATTAAATGAAATCATAAGGATAAGTTAAAATCCAGCCAAAGAATGCTCAAGGGAAAAATAAACTCTGAGATTCTTGACAATCAATGAAAGGGGAAAAATATAGCTCTCAAGAATTGAAGAAAACACTATGTTATTAATGAAATTTAATGCAGAATGAGTGCCTCATATGTACTAAGAAACTGTGTTAACTCCTAACTTTTTTATACACTTTACAACTATCATTCCTAATTTAATCTTCATAAAAACCTCAGGAGGATGGCACTTTAGTATCCCTATTTTAGAGGTAAGGAAACAGGCTTGGGGAGGATAATTGAGTATCAAAGTCATACTGGCAATAAGTCATGCAGCTGGGAGGGACTCACAGAGTCTGATTCTGGCCTGTGCTCTTCACTCCTCTGCCTTCCTGATGCATTATTCCTGGGTCTGGAAGGAATGTACCATGAGCCTTACAAGGGACATCGAGTAATATCGTTAACATGATATTCCAAAATGGCCCATAAAATGCAGGGACATGACAAATTATATTTCTAAGATGGCTTCTTATGAGAGTAGAAGCTGCCTCACTGAAGACAATTACAAGGGAGACCATGGCTCTGCAAGTTTGGCAAAAGTGGTGCTCCAGAGCCAGGCTCCACAGGCTCAAATCCTGCCTTGTGGCCACAAGCAAGAGGGCCCTCTGCACCTCAGTGTCCTTCCTCTTCTGCAAGACTGGAGCCAGAGCAGTCCTGCCTCAAAGGGGGCGTAGCACCGCTATGTTATACAATAAGTGCTACCTGGGCATTAGCTTTCCCTAGTGACTAGGAACTCAGGATGAACAAATAACTAAGTGTATTCTCCATCCCTTTGCTGAAAATGGCTTTCTCTGCCCAGCTGGTGACATACAGCATGTACTGCCCACCTGTTATTTGGCCCACTCTGCATCTTTTCCTCTTTTTGTTCCTTTGGGCAACCTGATTCCAACCCACTGGATGCACCTCAATTGGGAAGGGCTTGGCCAAGGAGTGGAGACCTCTGGCCCAGTTGTGGAGTGGATACAAGACCAAACTCAGCCTTGTCTCTGCCTAGAACTTGAATCCTGAAACTGAAAATGGTTGGACTTGGTCTCTCTAGTCAGGGTGCTCTAAGAGAACCTAAGACATGTCCAGATCCCTTCCTTTTTGAATCTTGTTCTTCAGCATGAGTTACCTCTCAATACAATGGTGCTTTTGTGGGCCTCTTCTCTGGGCCCTGAGCCCTGGCAAGAGCAGTTGGATTTCAAAGGCCTGCAAAGCTCAGGTCCTGGCAAGTTCTTCCCTGCTGGTCTGGGGCTGAGCATGTCCTGGGTTAGGGAGTTATCTCCAGAGGGCCCATCCAATGGGATCCCATTGTGACGGGTGGTTACGAGGACTGGCTCTGAGCCCCACTACTCAGGTCCAACCTCTGGGCTGGCCACTTACTAACTATACGATCCAGGTGAGCAACTTATCCCCTCGGCTGCTGCACCCTGCCAACTTTGTTGTCTTATTTGAGTATTAAATGAATTAATACACGAAAAGCACTTGAAACAGTGTTTGGTACATAATAGATGTTAGGCATCTCCCTGTTATTATTACTATTACTGTTATTGTTATTATTACTACTACTAGCCAGATGGACAACTCACCACCCACTAAAATCCATGACCCAAAAGGGTTCCAAGGAACTGTAGTGTGGAGCTGTTAGGGCTAGAGGAAGGCTAGGTTCCCAGTAAGGGATGAGGGGTTAGGGAAAAACTGGAAAAGAGTGGTAGAAAGGATTCCAGAGCTCTGGAGAGACAGGCAGGGAGTCATTTTAGGCCTAACCACATGGGCTTGTGGACCAACATTTTACCTTTCATTACCTAAGCCCAGTGCATTAAAAGCTGACATGCCCCTCTTCACAAGATCCCAGAGACATGTCTATCACCCATCACCAACAAGATATAAAAAATAGATGTGCCAGGAAGCAGTGAGTATCAGGATAGCCATGTCCAGGTAAAATCTCTGGCTGGCCTGTCTCCTGCTGGGAGGAGAGTCAGCTCAAGACGGTTATTGGCAGGACTAAGAGTTCGGAGAGCCTCCTCACAGAGCCCAGCTACCTCCCCATCAGCCTCTAATTGAACTGCCTCCGAGAGTGGCGTATTTGGCAACTACTCATTGAGTGCTCACTATGCATCAGGCACTGTACTCAGAGCTAGGAAAGAACAAGAAACAAAAAGGATAACCCTTCTGTTATAGGAGGTAGGGAATGTATAAGGAGGTATCAACATTTGTCTGAGAGAACAGTGAATGAGGGACGTCTGAGGTTAGATGGTATTGAGGACTTGTTTGGGAGGGGGGCTTCTGCAGCCACTCTGTGCAGGAGAGTTCAGCACCTGACTTGGTTGGCACTGAAGCAAGGCTCGAGTGGCAGAGTTGTCTGCAGGAATCCGCATGTGCAGACAACGAGCCATGAAATGAGGTCCCACTGGTCTCCCAGTGGAAAGGGGCAAAGATGAGGAAGCTGTCTGCCCCACACTGTTGCTGTAGGCACTAGAGTCCATGCTTCTAGCCAAAGAGCCACAAATCAGTGGCCTCGGACCAAATTAGGAGGTCCTAAGAGCTACTGACCCACCTCGGTTGCCACCTCACCTCACTTTCTCCTTGGCATCATTAAAACTCTCAGCCACATAATACAGGGGCTGGAACTCTGTGATGGTGTATTCCTGGACGGCTGTCTTCTCCAGCTCCAGGGGGAGGAGCTTCGGCTTCCCTGACAAGCAGTACTGCAATTACCAAGTAGAAAGTTTTCACAGTTAAATCAGGGTCCCTGCTGCATTCCGTGGGCCATTTGGGTACCATCTCCCGTCTCACCCTGATTCTTCCCACACCCCAACTCAAATGCAGTAACTAAATTATTTTGCATTTACTGAACCCTACCTATTCATGGCCCATCTAAAACTACAGTTGAGACAGAAAGGAATAATTTGTTCTAGCCATTTTCAAGTAAGATGATCAATAGAGGATATGGGAGACAACTGCAATTGTATTTGCATACATCTGCATGTGCAGTTCAGCCTCAGGATCAGAAGACCTCTCTGTCATGCAGATCTGTGTACTTGCAGTTCAATTTCTACCTCTAACACCCAGAGTCACAATGAAATCATAGCTGCTAAGGTACCAGTCACTGGAAGATAAGGCCCTGGGATGAATCTCACAATGGATGCAAATGCAGTTTCAACAGCACAAAGAGAGAAGAAGGGTCTGCTGTGCCCACCACTTTCAAGTCCATCTTTGGCTCTTGGTAGGGTCATACCTGTAATTCACCAAAGGACGACAGGAGCCCGGCACCGTATGCCTTTATGGAGTCTCCTTGTTTGCAGAGCCCAAACTCCACAGTGAACCAGTAAATCTGGAATGAAAAGTGGAGTTGAGAGTGCAGCCAAGGAAGGGAAAAGCAGCAGATGCCCCGGCCAAGGACAGGGCTGCCCAGGGGGATTGTGCAGGGCTATCCTCCGAACAGCTATGACTTGAGGTCACACCTCTGTCCCATGTCTTCCTTGAGTCCCTTGAGACAAGAGTTGGCTGAATGCCAGAGGTGGCAGGAAGCAGTGGGGACGTATTAAGGAAGCCCCAAAAAGACAACCTCAACACATAACTCTGTATATGACAGTAACTCCTCCACCCTTCTGGCCTTCTTCTCTGTGGTATCAACTAGAGTGAGATGTTCCCTTTAGTTGGTCTGACTTACCAGCAACCCCACCAGGTTCCGCAGTGGGAGGTGAGGGATTGGGTAGTGGTAGAATCAATAAGGAGGCATTCCATCACCCACGCTGAGCACCCTGCCAAACACTGATCCTCACCAGACAACCAAGTCCTCGTCTTTCAACAGCTCCTAGTCCAACACATGCCAGTTGCCTGGCCTGGGGAAGATGGTCCTAGAATTCTGGCATAACCCTACTGACTAGGGCGCAAATAAACCTGGGGCCCAGTTAGTAGCCATGATCTTGGAGAATCAGGGATAGGTTACTAATTAAGTCTGTTCATTGCACTAGAGAATATTAAGCCTGGGGAGGCTGTCAGAGCTCAGTCGGTCTGATCTCCTCACATTCTTGTGACATGTCTTAAGCTCAGAGACGTCAAGCAACATGCATACAGTTACACAGAATATCAAAGGCAGAACAAGAATCCAGGACTGTTTACAGCCTAGTATATCAATCAGGAGATTCTTCTTTTTGAAAAATTATGTTGGTAATTTTACCATTATTGTAACATGGAACATGATGCTCTGAGTTCTGAGTTTATTTTCTCCTCACAAGTAAGAGATTCTGTCAATGTCGTTGGCCTTGAAAGTTCCTTCTTGCATATCTAAAGCATCTGACATTCAAAATTCATGTTCACACACACCTAACTCTGTAGACCATCAGGATATACTTTAGAGATGGATATACATTATTGCATCTATTTGTAGAAATAAAGAAAAACAAAAGCCAGAGTATCAGACAGCTGGTCAGTGAGAAAGAACCTCTTGGGAGTTTTTGCCCTTCTGATAAATTGAATTTGTAAATTTCTAAACTGATGTATCTTAATGATAGGTTTGCATTTATTTGTGGTCCTTCATTCCATTATGAAGTTTTGCTTTTCATCTTCTGGGCTGAGCACATCATAAGAAATGTGTCTTGGAGGCTAGGGAGGGATGCATTCAAATTGGAAAGAAGCCTAGGAAGGAAGGTCACTGGGGAGAGGGAGGTGTTTGGTTAAGAAGGGAAAGCCCACCACCATTGTCTGAGAAAGCAAAGATCCTCATGCTGGCTCTAAAGGTAGAGAATAAATATTCCCTCTTCAGTCATGAATCCAGACTACTTCCCACACACACATTTTATGCCAAAGAGTTTTCAAGGACTATTACTATAGCCTGCTGGTGTTTTCAAGACACTTTGTTAGAAATTACTTGGGAACATCTGGATGCAGTTGGTTTCAAAATCAAACCATTCAGGAGAAATCAAATTGTGAGATTTCACTTGTGTAAATGTAACCAGTGTGTTCTGACTTCTTCCCCATATGATATGGCTTTTGGGGGAGAAGCAAAGTTGCAAAAGCCCGAGGGTTACAGTCTACCGCACCCCCACTGCCCTTCAGGGAGAGAGGGCACTTACAGTGGCGAGCTTCTCAATGTACTCATCAGGTGCACCCAGGGAGGCGAGGCCAATTTCCTTTAATTGAAGAGAAATGGAGTCACTTGTGTGGCTGGGGTCCACCTATCTTCACCCTTTGCCCCCAGTTCCAGCCTTGTACTTGACACAGGAGGGTGATGAATGGCCAAGAGCCTTCCGAAGATCCCAGATAGATCCTGATTGTCCTGTCAAGTCCACCCTACCACACACATAGAATGAGGATGAGGGGCCTCTAGAGCAGGGGAAACCTTTCTCCATCACGTGCTTCTTGGTATTTGCTTTACAAGTGAGAAACCTGAGGCACAGAGAAGGGGATTAACCTGCTCAAGGTGACACAGCAGGTTGTGTTTAAAGCTTCATGTCTTGACTGCAGCTAAGTAATTATTCTCCCATAGCTCAAATGGAACATTCCTGAAACACAGGGTAAGTCTTAATCATGTACCCTGAAGACAGCACAGGACTGCAAAGACATGCTTGGGCTTAAGCTGTAAATGTGCTCACCATCAGGGTAAAGGTGTTATTTAATTTTGTGAGGTTGGGTGAGATAACCAAAGGAACTGGTATAGACAGACAGAAGGACTAAGGATCGGGCCTGCTTTGCAGTGAGAGGCCATGTGGTCTTCATATTGGTGTCCCTCTCTGGGCCAGACCCAGAGCATGACCCCCATCACATGCTGAGACAAGGCTATCTGAGTTAGAGTGCACAAAACTCAGTCACTGGCTCCCCTTTGCCTGCCCCTTCCCCATCTCTGCTGCCTCAACCCTACCCAGACATGCCACAGTCCCACAGAAACCATCGGTAAACCCAAGATGGAAATGATGCTGTGTTCTCATCGTCACCATTCTTTGTGAGCCCCAAGCTTTCCTAAAACAAGGAGTCCCGAGATTTTCCTGTGCTTCATCTGCACCCAATCTTTTGTACTTTACTGGGAAGCAAGCCCTGCTTTCAGATTCAAAAAGAATGTGCTAAGGACCATTCAAAACGATGCCCTTCCTTGGCACTGCTCAAGTCACAGTTGGAACCATGTGGCCCAGAAGCTTCTGTTGACTCAGGTAATTGTCCATTCCTCTGTGGGGCTCCCCAAAGTGACATGGTTTAAGGGGGATTGTCACTTAGCCTCTGAGCAGAACAGCTTCCAGGAGTGAGAATAAAAAGTCCCTATTCTCCAAGGAAAAAACCTGATTATTCTCTGGCCATAGTCACAAATTCTGTGTTTAAAGCAGTTCCAAGCAATCAATAAGAGCTTGGCAGCAGAAATCATGCTTCTGAAAGTCGGCCGGTCAGCAACTGCCTCAGTCCAATGGTAATAGTTAAAGTTCAATGAATCCCTAACACTCCCACTTCTTAAAGTCCAACAATCTCCGAACTCCACAATTCCCCAAGTCCCACATAAAAGCAAGTTCTCTCTGTTTAGAGAGACTGTGTCATAAAAGCCCAGTTCTCCATTACCTAGCAAGCAGTTTATTCAGCTTGTTGTTTGTTTGTTTCAGATATTAAGGGGTAGCCTCTTCGATCAACAGTGGAAATACCTGTTTCTTCCAGCTGAGGGAAAATGCTTATAAAATTCAAACACTGTCCCATTAGTCTGACATTCCTAATTTGTCCATTATTTGCTCATGGATCATTCCATTTGATCTTCATTGTTCTTTGATCTCACACTGATCTTCATTGAGAGAAAGAAGATTGGCAGGAAGAGCTTTGTATTGATCCACATCTGTGGAGCCCGAGGCACAGGGAAGCCTGGCCACTTTCCCAGGTCACACAGCTGGTCTCCAGCAGGGTGGGCCTGCGGGTGCATCCTTCACCTCTCTCATGATCCCAGCTACCCAACCCTGGTTTTAGGCTGCCTCTTCATGCCCACAGAGAATTAGCAGGATTCTTTCACTCATCCAAAAAGTGCTTCTTGAATCTACCACCACTGCAATAGATGAATCAAGGCCTAGCCTTGATGACGCTTACAGGACATTCGGCTCATTATTTCATGCCAGCTATGAGTCTGGGTACTGGCATTAGATACTTGGCAAATATTATCTTCGTGACCAAGCCATATACAAAAATGGCTGCCTAACAAGGTAGTAAGGGGCGAGGCCTAGGGAGGAGAAAAAAGGTGCCAAAGAATTTGGAAGAAGGTAAGATTACTTCCACATGAAGATCATGGAAGCTTACCTGGATGAGAAGGCTCTTAAGCTGTACCTGGTAGGACAAGCATGGTTAGCAGATTCAAAACACATCCATAATTTTGAGGATGAGTGACCCATCAACCACACTATGGTCCCTGGAATGGGAATTCAGCCATCTGCATGCAATGACACACCCATCTCAGGAGGCATCATACAATAGCACCTGGTTTCCACCCTTGCAGAGGACACACAGGTCCCTCCATGGGTTCAATTCATTTGGGCCATCCGGGTCTCAACCATGTAACTAAAAGGCAAAAGAGATGCATTCCTCACCTGGGAAAACTGGGCAAAGCTTCGATCTGAAAATAAGGGCACATGTCCCAGCAGCTCATGGCAGATGTCACTGAAAGACAGAAAGCACAGAGCTTGGAGGGGAGGAGAGAGTCATAACCCAAGCCAGACTCAGGGTCTCTACATGAGGAATGGGTGGAAAGAAAGGAAGTAACTTATTCAGGTTTATGACCTTATTCTCAAGCATAAGTAGTGTGTAAATCTTAGGATCAGATGAGGCAAGGTATAAGAGAAAAAGAGGAAGGGGGAAGAAAAGTAGGAAGCAGGGCAGGAAACAGCCAAGGGGTCTTAGGTCTGTGCCCGGTAGGGTGCAGAGCAGAAGAGCCAGTATTTCTACAGGCATCCTCCCACACACCCGAGTGAGCTGTGGGACCTGAACACTTCCCATCCCAAGTCTTCACCTTAGTAATCCTGGGGAGATACAATGTGTTCAGTTATTCCCCATGGGAAATAAAAACTAAATTTAAAAAAATGAGTGCTGTGCTTCTCTTACTCCTAAGGGGGCCAGTCATCAGTCGGAGAAAAAAATGCATATTTATTGAACACATTATGTACCAGTTGCTTTAGGAACAGGTCTTTTCTGGTTTGTAGTAATAAACTTCATGAACAGAGAAACATGAGCTTGGGAGTCCTACTGACTTTTTTTGTATAACTTGCATAAGCATGTTGGAGAAGATAATCTAATTGCAAAAGTAAGAAGCATAGTGGCCAGTCATTCTCTACCTCCAGCCAAGACACCATCTAGGCATAGAAAGATTAAATCATTTAGATGTGTATTCAGGAGGTGCTGAGATAGCCTGGCTGCCATTTGTACCTGCTCCCAGGTACAAATGGAACTTCATAGTTCTGACTCCTCTTTAAACTTGAATGTGACCTCTCATTTCCCAACCAGGGAAGATCTGAATCTTTGGTTCCCAAGATGCCCAAATCATCTCCAATCAGAATGGTCTATTTAGACAGAAAAATCCCCAGAAGTGATGAGTTTCTATCTTTGTATTATCACCAAACAACCCAGACAACTCGTCCTGTGGATCAGCCCACCGTGAGCCCAAACTTCATTCCTAGAGCCTAGAGAGAGAGACGGCGCTCGCTGAGGCTGGCCACTGGCAGCAGGAGGATGATACTCACGGTTCAGGTGTGTACATGGGCTTGGACCCGTGTCTGATGTACTGAGTGCAGTGGAAGACGCGAAAGGCCAGGCCACCTAAGAAATCCCGAGAGGAGAGCAGGCCAGCCACAGGTCGGAGGCGGAAACCAGTGCACGCTAGGAAGCAAAGGAGAAAAACAAACTCAGATCCCACACAGCAGAGCCAGAGGGGCCTGAAGACCTTTAGTAAGACAGCAGTGCCCCCAGCTGTCCAGGACTCCCTCCCAGCTACCACTTCCCTCCCGGCCACGTAGTTTTCCTGGCTCCCCGCCCCGGAGCTGGCCATACCACCTCCACGCAGCTCAGAGGCAGAGAAAACTCTTCATTTCTGCAAACCTGCCAGCTGTCTTCCTACTTTACCTCCTTCCATCTGGCACACAGGAGGTGTTTAATATATGTTAGTTGATGGTTTTGTTTTGCTGAATGAACCCTCCCGGCAGACAGAAAGCACTTGTCTCCCTTGGAAACAATGTGCAGAGGCCAATCAGCTGGGTAATGAGTTTCCCCACTGAGTTACTCTGATTCCAATTCAGCCCAAATTCGCTGAGCACCTGCTGTGTATGTAGCACTAGCCTGCGTGTTTTCACATGGAACATCTTACTGCATTCTCATAATTTCTCTATGAGAAAGGCTAAAAGGCCAACACAGTCTTCATTTGACAGATGACTAAACTGAGGCAGCTTCATCCAACTGCAGAGGGTCAAAGCAAGATCCCTACCAGATGATTGCCTAGACTTGGGCTCCGGGCTTCGGCACTGCCCTACAAAGAGCACATTTCTTACATAAACACACGTGGCAACCATCTCATAACATGGCAAGACCTGCAAGGAGAACCCAGTCTGGGCACCCGGAGCTTTGGATATGAAAAAAACAGTTTTTGAGGGACACAGATATGGCAAAATCCATGCCTGATGCCTTTTCTTGAATAAGAAATGGGAACTAGAGGGAGGCAGAACCCAGCAGTGAAATTGGGTTTTTCCTGGGAGAATCAACCTGCAGGCATTATCACAAATGCACGCACACTCGCCTGGATTTACTTCTCTTCCTCTTCCCTCCCTGCCACCCTCCCCATTTGACCCTGATGTGCACTTACTCTGCAGAAACTGAGAAACCTCTTCCAGCTGGGGAATATTATCTTCACGGAAGCCGCAGTACTTTTCCAGAAGTGGGAAAATGTGATTGTGCTCGTAGCAAGCGTGGGTTTTATACAAGGACTTCAGGGTCCTGAACACCATCCCCCAGGTTTTCTTTTCCTCCTCCGTGTACTCCACTCGTGGGATGGGCTGCCCACTGGAACACAGGCAGGGGAGGTTTGTTCCCAGCAGGGCAAGGGCAGAGGAGATGGCGAAGGACCATTCGCACAGGGAGACGGGGCCCGCGCCTGTGAGCCACCTGGACTACATGGGATTTTATACATTTTTGAAAGAGGGAAATTCCACTTCTTGATAGAAGAAACAGTCATGTCATTTGGTTAAGCAAAATACAAGCTCTCACCTCACCAACTACACCCAAGATCTGTTCTCACTTCAAGAAATCACTTGGCCTTTCCACTCTCCTCTCTCTCCAATTGTTTATCCACATACGTCGCTAAAACAATTACATCTGTGGGCCAAAGTGGATTTAATATGTGCAACATGAGTTTGAGACCCCTTGTGTAAGTGGGCATGCACTTGCTGGATTTGATATTTGTACCTGTAGGAAGTTATAAAGGTGTTTAAATGCATGTCAGGTATAAGACATGCTTATTCAGCATCTTCTGCTATGACAACAGAACTCAAAGGAGCTTGTTAAAGTCCCGGTGTTGGACCTTTCCCTACAGATTCTGGGTCTTGATAAGCCCAGGCATCTGGATTCCTCTAAGCTCCCAGGTGACACCCTATAGTTTGAGAGTCATTAGTCTGAAATGTGCTTTTGCAAACCATCTGAGAATGAACTGTGTCCTGAACAGTGAAAACAAATGAAAACCACACAAAGCCTGACTTCCTAAACACCAGTGGCTGCCCCATGGGCCGCAGCCTGCCTCCTCACAGGGCACACAGTGTCAGGGACAAGGCGAAACTGTTTACCTTAGAATTAGGGATCACCAGCAGGCTCCAAACTAGGTCCCTCCTGCCCTCGCAGAGCTGTAGCTCATCCAAGAACATTAGAGTAAAATCATTATGTTCCCACAGAAAGGTGGGCACGGATTAGAGGGAAAAAGACAGTTTTTTGGTTAAGAACTTAAAGCAAGACAATGTGTGATGGCCAGTGGGGATTATGAAAAGAGCATCAGGCGAGCCCCTGCTTGAGGATACACTGCTGTTTCACAGCCAAGTTCTGAAGAAGGACAAGGATGGACTTGGGAAGTGAAAAGAGATGGCTTTACTATTTGGCTCTGCCATTTCCTTGCTGAATAGCCTCAGGCAGTTTAGTAAACCTCTCTGAGCCTAGTCTATAGAGTTGTTACATGGGCTAATAATAATATGTAACTATTTGGAGGCTATGGTGGAAAACTGAGTGAAATACTATGTACAAAGTACCTAACATTGGTGATGACAAATAATACTATTGAGTAATTGATAATTATCATTATAACAGATTCTAATTTAAAAAGAAAGTCATCTGCTATTACAGAAACACATTTTCAAGGGATATTAACATCTAAGATGTTACTGGGCACTATGATGTCTCCCTGGTTGACACTTGCTGTTTCAGGGGTTCAATATCCATGTCCTGTTCTTCCAGGAAATCACCCTCCTCCTTTCTCAGTCTGTGCGGTTCAAGTGGGAGGAGATTCCATCACTCCTACCTTCAGAGGAGGGCAGGCCTGGCCAATTAGAGTGCCCATTTCCCTGGCCATAGTGGCTGGGTGGAAGATAGGCCCATGTCAGAGCCAAGGAGACTCAGTGAGAGAACTTATGTTGATTCTGTTTTAAAGAGACAAAACCTCTAATTGGGATGGGGTGTCAGCCAGGTGGGGTTGGTTCCATCTCCAAGAGAAATAAGGCCAATGCAAGGCCCAGGCAGAGGGCACCAGAGTCAGAGAGAGGGAGGGGGAGAAAATGAAACACTTTGTGCCCCCCAGATCCACCTATACCTCAATTACTTTCTCCCCTTAAACTTTTCACTTAGAGGAGCCAATAAAATCCCCCTTTTGTTTGAGTTGACTTGTAGCTAAAAGATAAAAACTCCTATGATCCATTTAGTGTACTCTTATACAAAATTTTAAAGCCCAACTCCTACCCCAGTAACATAATCAAAATCTGCTGCAGGTGCCTCCTAGATGGTTCTAGACACAATTCCTAGTCCTGCCTCTGATTCACCACTTCTAATCTTCACAATCATATGGTGTCTTAGGTTTATTCATTCACCCATTCAGCACATATATATTGAGTACCCATTGTTCTGGGAATACAGCAGTGATCAAAACAGTCAAAAAACCCTTCCATTTCCAGTGGAGCTTTAAAAAGGAAGGAAATCCTGCCCTGTGCAAATACACAGATGAACCTTGACATTGTGCTAAGCAAAATAAGCCAGTCACAAAAGGACAAATACTGCATGATTCCACTTACATGAGGTACTTAAAACAGTCAAACATATAGACACAGAGAGCTGAATGGCAGTGGCCAGAGGGGACAGGGAGGGGAGGACAGAGCTGTGGTTCAACAGGCATAAAATTTCAGTCATACAAGATGATCAATTTCTAGAGATTTGCTGTACAATGTCTGTATCATCTCTGGAGTTACATTACTGCACTGTCTACTTAAAATTTTGTCAAGAGGCTAGATCTCATGTTAAGTGTTCTTACCAGAATAAGAAAGAAAAATCCTTGCCCTCATGGAGGCTGCATTCAGGGGGAGAGGGGACGGTGGTGATCGGTGCTACGAAGGAAAGGAAGGGCAAAGGTATTGGGGAACGTCAGGGTGGGGTTCAGTTTTACATAGGGTGTTGGAGAAGGCTTGGTTGAGAAAGTGATGTTTGAGCAAAGACCCAAAGAGCTGAGGCCTCACTGCTTTATTCTGGAGGCTTCTTTCCGCTTGGACACTTCTGTCTGAGGTTCTGGCTCACTTTCCCACAGATTCACTCAGTCAGCACCAGTCCCTGCAGTGTGGAGCAGGGACAGTCCTATGTCTCTTACATGCCTCCTGGAGCAGCTATTTGTAACCTAGCCATCAGTGGCCCAGGGGCCTCCACTTTCCTGGGAGGAGGCAGGAGAATCTGAATTCTAACTGTAGCTTCCTAGCTCTGTGACACCTTGAGCAAGTTCTTGGCTCTTATGTATATATCTTCAAAATAAGAATAATCAAAGCTGCCTTGTAATCTTGGAATAACAATCAAATAAGCAATGTGTGATGCGCTGCCTGGATATAATAAATGTTTCAGGACTTATTTATATATATATACATACACACCAAATTCCAGGACCGCTTAGGAATTAAACTTAGCACATTCTCCTCTGCCTTCTAATTCCACCAAAAGACCTGCCAGAGGTTCCACACGATCCTCAGTCTTTAAAGAAATTGTCACTTATTTTTATCCAGCCATCATCTCGCTAAGTTAAAAAAAAACTAAAATATTTTAGGAAGAATATCATGTTGGCTTAAAATAAAGAGACTTCTCTTCAAGTCAATGAGGAACCCCCCTTCAAAAAAAGGTTTTAAGCAGAAGGCACTGTTTCTGAATTAGTCTACCAAACCAAATATGGCATTCAAGTTACCCCTGCATTTGGCACAGCCTTCCCTATCCAGTCTTATTTTACTCCAAATCCCCCCACACATGTAATTATTTCCAAGACAAAAAAATTTGGCATCCCAAAACACAACTGTAAATTGTGCCTCTTCAAACTGAGGTTTCATACCTTGTATAATATTCTCAGGGAGAAGTGTCATTGCAGAGAAGACGAGCAGAGAACAGGGTGGCTAGCAGTGGCAGGGTTTAGCTGCTTCTTTATTTTCTATAGTAATTTACTTCTGGCCCCAAGTACACACATCTCAAAACAAGAGCCCTGCAGCTATCCAGAACCACCATCTCACTCACTACCCTGGTTCTCTTTGGCTGGTACGCTCCTGCTCAACCTTTAATTCTCAGTCTAAACTTCACTTCGTCCTCACCATCACCCCCAGTCTACATGTAAAGTCCTAATTATGTGGCCTCATGACTTTGGCAACACCTACACATTGAGTGATAACATTACTCAGTGACTAAATGAATGAGTAACAACATTGTTGCTACTTTTGTCATTGTCTGTCTTCCCTAATACTATCCCAGAGGACATGGACCCTGTTGGTCCTGCTCTTGGGGTAGTTCTGGAACTCCGTCAACACATTTTATCAACTGGCCAATGTCCTATGATTCTATGATTCACGATGCACAAGTTTGATCCCCATGTGGAATAACAGCTGGGGAGGTACAAGGGACCTGAATGTGGAGCGGACGTCATTGACATGCAAGGTGGCAGAAGCCAAGGAAGAGGCCAAAGCTGAGTCCTGAAAGATGTTCAATATCTGGGGTAGGAGGAAGAGTCCAGAGAAGACTGAGAAAAAGCCTCAGAAAGGAAGGAAGCAAACCAACAGAGAGTGAAAAAAAAGTTGATTTTCATTATTTGTGGCAATAAATTTTTTTTTAATTGTTACATAAAATCACCACACATCCTGAGTTAGTGATCATTGAACCACTGCTTCTAGGGGAAATACAGGACTAGGGTTCTGTGAGCTTCTGATCACATTATCATCAACTGGTAATACCTAGCTTGCTTTGTGTGTGCTTTTGTCTAAAGATGTCTTAGGTAATTCATTTGGTCAGTTCATTAACACTGAACTTAATGGCCAGCAGCACTTAACTAGTGCACGAAGGAAGCGTATCTAACACACACTTGTTCTGCATTAGACACATCCCGCCTTCTTGCTCTTAGAACGCTGGACAACAGTCAGCGCTTTGCTGGGGAGCCATTCTGAAAAGCAAAATTACCAGCAAAAAGGACAGAAAGTCGACAAACATGGCTCAAATCTAAGCAGACCTCAAAAAGAACACTTGTTTTCAGTACAAAGCTGAAATAGGAAGGCAGCGTTGCCACCTTCTGCTGCATTTGGGTTCTTGTGCTTGTGCACCAGCGGCTCAAATGTTTCCCCTCCCTGCGCATGTCTGGTGATGAGCATGAAAGTGCCGTGAGTATTGACTTGGGGATCTCAAATAAATGTAAGGACATAGTCCTTGAATAATGAGAAGTAAGTGTACCAGGTACAAAGACAAGACACTATTTCAAAGGAAGGCATGGCTAACGGAATGAAAATTTTAAAAGAAATGAGCAAAAAAAAATGAGGTCTGAAAAGACTGAATTGACAACAAGTTCAGCCCCTGATAGCTGAATGACCGACCTTGAGCACATCACTATCTGGGATTCATCTATAAAATGTGAGAAATTGGCCAGAAGATCTCTAATAGTCTTTTGAGAGCCAGTCATCAAGTTTTCAATAATCAGTTTATTTGATTAATATTCTGAACGGTGAGTCACTTGATAAGTGCAGAATTCTTCTGCACTAGGTTTAACACTTTTATGGAAAGGAAGTTGAGGGGGATCAGTTTCTCTCCTCAAACCTCAATAGCCAAGAAGTGAGTGAATGTACCACCTAAGCAGCTCCTGGATTATATGGACAATGGTCTTCTGACTGTGAGAGTCCCAGACACTCTGGGAAGTGGCTGAGATGGACTTCAGTGTTAAAGAAACCTGAGTTCAAAACCAGAGTGTGCCACCTACTAGTTATATGACCTTGATATGTTACTCAACTGTATTAAGCATTAGTTTTCCAAACTGAAAACATGGAATTATTAAAACTAAGTGAAATAATATAAACAAAGAATTTAGCAAAGCCCCAGACATAGCAAGGAGATCATAAGTATGATTTGTTGCTATTGAGTCTCTGAAGAACTCCTGCTTGGACCTGACTTGATGGTGTCCACCGGAGCGTGCTGGAGCACAGGTACGGACAGGGGAGGGAGGTAGCTGTGTCCTGGGATTCCTGCTTGGCATAAGCCAAGGCCCAGGTGGGTCTGGGTCAGCACAGTTCTGGATCCTTCCACTACCAGGAGTGACTGAGAGAAGAGAGTTTTCTCCTTTGCTCTGAGGGGAGGGAGGTCTTTCCATCTTGAAGGTAACTTGATATGCAGTAAACAAAGCTTGCCGTCTTCTTTAACTCCCTCCTAGTCCATCAAAGCTGCTAAAGTTCCATAACCTCAGCATTCTGGTCAACTTTCAGGTGTCTTCTCATGCTCGCCTGTCTCATGCCCTGAACTCAGGAATGGAGCTCAAGCCCCCAAACACTCAGTTTCCCACGGAAGCATTTCTGTAGTTCTTGAGGACTCAAAACCCCCCAAACTGTTCTCTCTCCAAATAGCATATTTGGTATCTGCATTTTTCCTTTGGCTAAAATAGGGTAGAAGAGGAGCAGAGAGTCCCAGACAGAAAAAATAAACTCATCCAAAAATCACCCCTCACAGTTGGGTCACATCAGATGAAAGTGGAACGCTGAGGCACGGCTCGCCTGAGACCTCAAATGATTCATTATTTCAGTTAAGCAGCCAACCCCTTCTTGAATGTAAATGATTCTCTTTTTCCTTCTTCCCTGTTTAATGTGCAGAATACAAGAGGCTGTTTTATTCAGGACTGAGGCCCTTTGTAATTACTGCAGACATCACTGCGTAATTATGTAACAAAGCTGGGGAGAGAGCTGATCCCGTGCAGTGGGTAATTTTGTTTTGTCTAGTGGCAATTTTTTTTAACACGTGTTATTAAAGGGAGGGTTTAAAATACACACACACACACACACACTCTCTCTCTCTCTCTCTCTCTCTCTCTCTCTCTCTCTCAAGGCAGGACTCTCTATGCTGGTGTTTTCCAACCTTCGGCACAGGAGAGGTAGACCCGGAGGATGCTCCTCTCTTTTTCCCCGGCAAGCAAAGCAGACTTACTGTTGGTAGCTGTAGGCAATGTCAGCAAACTGCTTCCGTCTTGCTCGGTACGTGGGATCTTTGAAACCCTAGGAGAAAGGAGACACTGGATTTCTCAAGGCTTTGGTGAGAGGCCTGGCCTATCTATGCATGCTTTAAATGGGGGGTCTTGAGCTCTGACAATGTATCTTTCCTTTTCCTGGTTATACCTTGAAAATTAAGTGTCACTTAAACTGAGGGAAAGCTTTCCCATCAGATTTTATGAATGACACCTTATTAGCAATACCTCCAGTTCAGCGTGAGCCTCTCCTCCATGGGATTCCAAAGTGCGAACAGTGTACAGGTTTTAAAGAAATCTCATCTACAGCATTTCTAACCTGTGGCCTTGCTAACTCAGGCACCAAGTGGGGTAAATGTTTATGATGAAAATACACAATGACCACTAGATTTCTAATCAATGGCATGTGTCTAGCATTGCCTACTAATTTCTTGATAGACAAACAGGTACCTGCTTTCTGCTACTGCAATTTTTTTAAATACCCTTTTTTGAGGACCTACTACTTGCCAGTCTGTCTCCACATATAAACAGGCTGATAATCCTTTCTCTTCTGAGGCTGATTCTTGGACAGCCTTCCCCAACAATTCACAGGTAACACATTTCTGAGTGAAAAGAGGCCAAGTGCATCTTTCAGGGTTTGGGGGTGACACCTCCCTTAGATGGAGATGATCCCATTTTATTAAAAGGACATTTTTTTTCCCTTCTCTTTCTTATAGAAATTTTATGGTTTAACATCTCACATTTAAGTCTTTAATCCATTTCAAGCCAATTTTTTTGTGAATGGGGTCTAATTTCATTCTTTTGCATGTGAATATGCAGTTTTCCCAACACCACTTATTGAAGACTATCCTTTTCCCATTGAGTATTCCTGGCCCTCTTGTCAAATATTAGTTGACTGAATAACCATGAGTTTATTTTTGGGCTCTCAGTTCTGTTCCATTGGTCTATGTGTCTGTTTTTATGCCAGTCTATACTGTTTTGATTTTTATAACTTCGTAATATAGTTTTAAATCAGGAAGTGTGATGCCTCCTGCTTTTTTCTTCTCTCTCAGGATTGCTCTTTTACATGGGTCTTGGCAATGGTTTTTTGAATATGACACCAAAAGCACAAACAGAAAAGGCAGAAATAAACAAGAAAGACTACATCAAGCTGAAGTGCTTCTGTGCAGCAAAAGAAACAATCAACAAAATGAAAAGGCAACCAATGGAATGGGAGAAAATAATAAGGGGTTAATATCCAAACTATATAAGCAACTAATACAACTCAGCCAAAAGTAAATAATTCGATTAAAAAATGGGCAGGGGATCTGAACAGACATTTTCTCCAAAGAAGATATACACATGACCAATAAGTACTCAACACCACTCACCATCAAAACCACAATGAGGTATCATTTCACATCTGCTAAAATGGCCATTATCAAAAAACAATACAGAACAAGTGTTGTGCAGTGACAGTAGGAATGTAAATTGGTACGGTCACTATGGAAAACAGCATGGAGTTTCCTCAAAAAAATAAAATAGAATTACCATATGATCCAGCAATCCCACTTCTGGATATATCTTCACAGAAAATGAAAACAAGATCTCAAAGAGATATTTTGTACTACCATGTTCACTGCAGCATTATGCACAATAGCCAAGATATGGAAACAATTTGTGTCCATCAATGGATGAGTGAATAAAGCAAATATTATTCAGCCATAAAAAGAAGGAAAACCTATTTCTAATAACATGGGTGAACTGTGAGGGCATCAGGCTAAGTAAAATAAATCAGGCAGAGAAAGGCAAATACTGTATGATCTCACTTACATGTGGGATCTAAAAAAGCCAGACTCATAGAAACAAAGTAGAATGGTGTTGAGGTGGTTACCAGGGGCTGGGGCCAGGGGGAGAAATGGGGAGGTATTGGCCAAAACATACAGACTTCCAGTTATAAGATGAGTAAGTTCGGGGAATGTAATGTACAGCACAGTGACTATAGTTAACAGCAGTGTATTACATACTTGAAAGTTGCTACAAGAGTAGGTCTTAACTGTCCTCACCACACACACACACACAGGATTTTGATGTGAGATAATGGATGTGTCAACCTTATTGTATAATTATTCTTTAATAAAATGTGCATCAAATGATCATGTTGTATACCTTAAACCTACATGATGTTATATGCCAATATATCTCAATAAAGCTGGAAAAAAGGCATTTTACAAAAAATTGAGTATAATCTGAATTTTTGAAAGACAAGAGATCGTGCCATCACTGTAGAATTGTGTTCCTTCCAAGCATTTCCCAATAAGCAGTGACATCTACTTATGTCAGTTTGCAATTTCTCTGCCTCACCAATTTTTCCAAACCAAGGTGCTAATGAATCATTAAAGATGTTTCCATCAGTGGAAAAAAGCTTAATACAAAATTGTATATAGGTTTCAATTATGTCAGAGGGAATGCATAAATGAAATGACGGAGGGATACCAGGATCTAACAAATGTCATGAAAATGAGAAAGGAACTGTTTTCTTCTTCTATACTACTTATGCTCCTGAAGTTCTCTAGTGACTCTGTATTTCTTTTATAATTACAAAAAAAGGTAAAATAATATTAAAACTCCATCTCAAATCATTATGGAGAAGTAACAGAAGATTTATCTACACATTGAGATATATCAACACACATATATGCCACACAGATTTTCCAGATGGGAAGGTTTCTAATCATTTTAAGTCCTTACCAGTTTAAAGTTCCCAAGAAGTTCATTATCCACTTACAAGGAGCCACCACTGACCAGGCTGTATGGACTTTCGCGCTCTCTGTTACCAGCGAAAGAGAGTTACTGCAGCCCTGAAGTCCATTGCTTGGGGTTTTGGCCTTGTACCCCGTGGGCTGCCCGGTGACCACAGGGCCTCTGCAGCCATGTGGAATAGACTCTGAATTGAGCTACAGTTGATGACTAATCACCCCGTCTCAATTTAGACTAATAGCAGCAATTTCAGTAGCACTGCATGTAATTTATTTATAATCACCCTGTCTCAATTAAGCTAATAGCAGCAATTTTGGTTGCACTGCGTGTAACCAAGTATGTTTTGACAGGAAACTGTATTGTTGGGGAAGGAGTGTTGAGGAGGAGGGGGAAGAGGGGAGACATGGGTGGGAGAAAGTGGAGAAAATTCTATAGGAGGCAAAGTTATAACATCACTGGCAGCCTACATGTGGTCACTTTCCTTAATCTCAGAATTTTTTTTACTTGGGGTGTTGAAGTGTGTGATTTTGCTTTTATGGGGGGTTTTGGGGAGAGGGTAACACTGTGGGAAAGTCTTCTGAGTATTCCTCTAGACTGAGATCTTTATTTCATCATTTCTTGATATCATGGCTGAGGTTAAACCTTAGAAGTGCCATCTTTAGGCTAGGGAGGAGAACAGGGGTTTTAAAGTTGGGCAGGCTGGGCTGGATTATTAACCCATTTGACTAGTACAAGCATGGTCTGAGGCCCACCATTAGGCCTCAGTTCAACTTTCAGAGTCTCAATTTCTTTAGCAGTGAAATGAAACTGACCTACCGCACAGGGTCAAGGGGACCTGATCAGATCACATAGGCATTAAGTACAATTCTGAGTACAAAGGAGACACTCAAAAACTTATGCATTTGTGCAAATAGTGGGAAATCCAAAAGCTCAGAAGTCTGGCCCAGAAAATACAAAGGATATACTCTGGAATGGTTTACAGAGCCTCATCATCCATCGTTGGCTTTTTAAAAATATCATGTGTCGAATTCTTATGTTGCTATTTATAGTTCATCTAAGCCAATAATGAGAGGCTTTTTGCATTCCATCAGTTCCATACCAACTGGAGGAAGGATGGTACATAGGACAAAAGAGGTTCAAAGTGGTATATTTTTTAAGTTTTTGCCATGGCCATCCTGTAGACACTGGCCAAAGGTTTGCAAACCAATCGACAAGGGCCATGCTGACCATGCCCTCTCCCCCTGTCCACTCTGCATCGCTGGCCATGGTCACCACCAATGAGGCCAAGAAGTCTGTTCTGGAAGGATTCAGATGCCTGGTTGCCCAAGCCAGTAACTTGGGAGTCATTGTTTTACTTCTCTCCCCTCTTCCTTCACACCAATAATCAATTTTTGTCCATTCTTCCTTCCACATGTCTCAAGTCTGTCCTTCTAACTTTATTCTCACTGTAGCACCTTAATTCAGGCCATCATCATTTGTTGCCTGGACTACAATAACCACTTCCGAAGTGGCCTTCCTTTGTTTTACCCCTTCACTTCAGCCCAAGGAGACTTACAAAATGCAAGTGTGCTGGGGTCACTCCCCTCCTAAAAAACTTTCAATGGCTTCTCATAACTTTTAGGATAAAGTCCAAACTCGTAACACAGTCCTCAAGGCTTTATGTCATCTGGCCCTGTCTATGTTTCTAACTGTGTGATGAACTACAACTGCCTACGTACTATGTCACCAAATTTGTCTAAATGGTCTCATTTTAATTCTTTAAACATGCCACACTTTTTTCTACATTAAAGCCTTCATGCGTGCTCTTCCATCTAATTGGAATACTCTTTCCACTCTCAAACCAATGAGCTACCACTCGGTCTTTCCTTCTTGGTTCAAACTTTTAGAGACCTTCCTTGATTTTTCTGAAGTTTATTGACTTCCTTCCACAATATGCTTTCTCAGCCATCTGAGCATTTCGCCTTTCAGAAAATCATTATACTTGTTAATGATTATTAAACTCAGGAATCGGTTTGTCTTACTTATCACACGATTTTCAATGCATAGTATAATCAGCATCCTCATCCTCCTGAGCAGGAGTTAAGAAAAATTATGCAAAACTTAGGCAAAAAAATTACTGTATGCCTTTTCAGAGTCATATTAGGTCACTGTCTAACGAGCTCAGTGTATGCTCTATGGGCACACATATTTGTTTGATGTGCAATTTACTATTTAGCAAGGCACAAACTCCTCAAAGTTAGATGCTGTCTTAGAGGAGACTGATAGGTTGCAAAATATTTATTATACCATCAAGCTGCAAATGATTTTTGTCCAGTAGAAAAGACAATACTCAAAGTTATCGCTTTATTGCCTTATAGGAAGATAATCATGTGTGTAGCCATCTTGGCAATCTTACTCCAGAATTCTGTATTTCAAGGACCATATATACCTTGGTTTCCTGTATCTTCCTTTGCATCATTTTGTCATCATTCTGCTCCCTTACTACTGAGTCAGTGGATCTTTGGCAGATGTTTACTATATATATATCTGCATGACAGCTGTTCTTTAACTCTTTGAAAACAGTGCTTTGACAGAGCAACTTAGTAAGACTGCAACAAGTCTTTGCTGACATCCTTAGAATAGATTCTGACCAGGCCCTTAGGTGGAGAGGGTTGGGTGGGAAAAGGAAGAGAAAAGGAGAGAAGTATAGGAAATAAAGTGGGGAAGAGCAAGCCTCTTTTTGGAGAGTAGAGAAACTCAGCACCTATACCCTGAAAGACTGAAAAGCAGTTGAGAGATTTAGGTCAAGAAGTAGAAATAAACACAGAAGGATAGTTGTGTTGGCTGGCTGATATTTTCTCCACCAGAAAGCTTCCTAATATAGCTCTTCAGGCCAGTCACAGGAGGGAGCAGGTGCAGGGAAACTGGAATAGGGAGCTCTGGGGTTAGGGGCTGTGCAGCAGAGGTTGCTGATGCTCCCCAAGATCTGCCCCCTCCTTCTTTCAGAGACAATTGCTAAACTACTTTTCCCAGGCTTTTTGCAGTTAGTCACAGCCATCTGACTGAGCTGTAGTCAATAGAATTTGAATGAAGGGATGTGAGTCACCTCCAGAACTGGTCCATAAAACCTCCCAGGAGCAATCCCCTCTCTCATTTCCTATGCACTTGCAGAATGGAAAGGGCTCCAAGGACTTGGAGGAACATACAGCCCTTAGGTAGAAGGAGACCTGATCTCTGCATGGCTGTGTGGAGCAATTTCCTTACTGACCTGTACTGGAAGTAAATGTCACTGGGTCAATCCACTGCAATTTGGGGATTGTCAGATAAGCAGCTAGCCTACCCTAATTGCTAGAGAGCTCAGCTCAGATCTCCTTCTTTCCAGAAGTCCTCCCTAACTATTCCAATCCACAGTGACTTTAGAACTGATAGCACATGCTACTTGACTCATTAAGCCTGGTGTTTAACCCTATACTTTCATGTTAGATTTTAACCAAATATTACCTAAACTGTGTTCCATGGAGCCCTGCCATTCAAGATAATGTTGCTAGAAGTTTCATTAAAAAGCTAATTCATGGATAAGTTTGAGAAACATTATGTTTCAGTTTTATGGGACTTCACAAAGCCTCTAATGAGATAATGGGACTTACATATTCTTAAAATAGTCTCTATTTTGATCATGAGACTTTTTTCATAGCCTACAGTTTTGGAATCATGGATATAACTTTTCACTTGTGTATATGTATATCTTACGTCTCCTATGGGGCTACAAGTCATGTGGTAGTGAATTTAGTTTGCTCGATAATTTGTGCTCAAATTATAAAACACAATGCACCCAGTTCTACAGTATCAGCTTGGCCTGGGGAAGAGGTAGGTGGAAGGACTTAGGAGGCCTCAAGATACATGAGTTGAGCCTTTAAAGATGAAGAGAGGTTTGCTAATGGGGAAAGAACAGGTAAGAGGATAAGAAAAAGCACCCCAGGTAAAGGAAACAATAGGGACAGAAGCAGAGGCTGGGAGATGCACAGAGAAAAGAGAGGCAGTTTTAGAAATGGAAACTGCACAGACCCGCTCGGGTGCTACCTTGAGCTCACAGCTGTGTCCCAGTCCCCTCTGGCATCGCTTTGGGAAACAGACTGGTCACTGGAGGCCTTTGGAGAGCAGGGATTGTGTTTTATTAATCACTTCAACCCCTTTTCCTTTACATGGCCTGGGACACGCTTCACATATTCGTGGGGCTACACCTTCTCTGTCTGAGATTTCCCATCTGCAAATGAGGACGTACAAACCTCCCCAGGATGGTCATAACCCTTCAGTTGAATAAAATGCAGGCACAGTGTTTAGCATGATGCCTGGCATACGGTCCATGCTCAAGACACGTCAGCTCTGAACATCATTCACTGAGTAAGTGTGTGAGGAGGAGGCAAGGGAGAAGGGCAGGAGGGCAGGAGGGCAGGAGGGCAGGAGGCTGCAGAGCAAGGAGCGCAGGGCGGAGAGAGTGGCACGGCTATCTCCTTTCATTTTCCCACGGCGATAGGCTGGAAAGCAGGCACCTTCACCCTCGTTCTGGGAATAATCCTTCTCTCCTTGACCTCATTTCCCAGAGTGGCTGTTTGGGAGGCCCCGCAGTGAGGTGGCTACGGGGTCAGACCTCAGTGCATCCTGCCAAAGGTCAGGGGAGAGGAGATCACACTGGACGCCAGGGACAGAAAGGAACAGCGGGTCCTCCCGCGAATGGCCCCCTCACGCCGAGGCCGGGGCCCAGCGCCTGCGCCTGGGGCTGTGGGGAAGCACTGTGGAGGGTCCACTCTGTCCTTGGAGCATCAGGTCCCAGCCTCCCATCAGCAGACGCAGGAGGGAACAGAGAGAGCCTGGCCTCCTTGTCAGGGGCACCATGTACCTGACAAATTGTATTTTTATGACAAAGCTCATGACACCGAGAGGCCAGGGAGCCAAAGATGTGGGCTGGTCTGCAAGGAGAAATGAATCCCAGAGAGTTTTAAGGCCAGTCCCATCTGCCTCTGAGGAGACATGGGGATAAAGTATGGGAAATGGCCGTGTCTGTGGACTGGCCTCGTCTCCTGCTCCAAAGGAGCAGGGACCGTGGCCCGTGGAAGGGACATGGGTCAGGGAGGGGCACTGGAGGCTGGTAAGAAGAGAGGACACCCTGATGGGCCAGTCCCATGGCCTGGGTCAGCTTTTCCAGAGAAATTTTCAAGCCCACTATAAGGGGTTTACTCTTTGAATTAGAACAAGCAATTCATGTTTTAAAAGGCCAGCCTGCCCCAGAAATAGCTCCCCCTTTGTCTCTGTGAAAGGGCCTGAATTTCTGCCATGACTTAGACCTTTGTCTTCAAGCACAGTGAGCACTGGGCTAAGAGTTTAAAGACCCAAAGTTTAGCACAGGACCTTAGAAAAATCACCTGTGCTCATTGGGCCTCAGTGAATCTGTCTGTGAAATGGGAACATCTGCTGTGCTTACTGAAAAGAGCTTTTGTGAAGAGCAAGTTCACAGCTTACCCAACTAGAGACCCACGCAGATGTGAGGAAAATACAGACTCCTGATGAATGCAGACACTCCCACTGAGACTAAATTTCATTGCGAATGGAAACAGTTTCCAAGCCACTTAAAGACAAAGGAACCATTTGTCTGGGTTCTGCCAACAGGATGGTGGCACTTCTCACCTGGGAAGGCTATCAGAACTGGCCATGTGCCCAGGCTGGACCCTCCCCCTAGAGAAAAGGGAATAAAACACCCCCCTCACCCTTGGTGCTCCACTCAGGAACCATTAAAGGACCTGCTCCCCTACCCACAGGACCAGGACACAGTCTGTTCTCTGTCTGGTATGTCAGACCTTTTAAAAGCTGACCCTCACACCTAACACACCAACCAGCCATTTCAAAACATTCCTGATACTTTCAAGACTCTGAGCCTTTGCATATACTGTTCCCTCAGCCCATAATGTCTCCCATCTCCTTATCTGAGTTAGCATTTTCTACTCAGTACCACACTCCCCACTGTCCCATCCCACTGCACCTGGCAGAGTTGTTACATACCTTTATGCTTCCCAGGCACTTAACTTAAACCTCTATGATTTAAGTCAGAAATAAAGATGATTTACCTTATATGGGTGTTTGTATACACACTTATATACATGCAGTACATGTAACAAGAGCTTCCAGGTGGTGATTCATATTTGCTCCAGCAAATGATCATGGTGATGGTGATGCTATAGAGCAGGCATCCTATAAATTTTTGTTGTGCAACTAAACAAATGGAGACACACAGCTTCTAGGTGGGGGCAGGGATGGTGGTGGGGGAGACTCACGGGGTGGTCAGCATCCAGTTCTGCTCCATAGCTGAGAATCTGATTGGCAAATCTGTCAAGCTCTTGAATGGTTCTCGGGAACCAGGGTACTGCAACACAGAAAGGGCACGTCCTGAGTGGCAGATTGGCAGGGTAAGGCCAATGTCCACACCAACGTCAGAAAGGCGGAAGCAGCCCCAATTAGTCGAATCAGTGGTGGTGGCCAGTGGGGTCCAAGACAACTCCCAAATTACTATCATGCAAAAGTTAAATCCCATTTTTCTTTGAAATTCTATTTATTTTTTAAAATTCAGCTTTATTGATGTATAATTAACAAATACAATTGTAAAATATTGGAAGTGTAAAGAGGAGGGAGAAAGGAAGGAAGGGAAGAGGGAGGAAGGGACTCTGGTTATGTTAACACGTGAGGTACGAACGGCAGTGACTGCCACCCTGGAGGGTCAGCTCACCTAGGCGCTGTTCCTGAAATATCTCAGATGAGAAACTAAGGCTCTGAAAGCCTGTGTAACTAGTTTAAGATCACACAGGAGGTAAGAAAGTGGTAGATCCAGAAAAAAAACGGAGAGCAGAAGTAGACATGAATGGGGGCCAGGAAGTGAGGCCAATGCTTCCCCTGAAATGAAGTTTAGTGGGAAAGATACAGACCTGACAGTCTGGCTTGGAACCGAGGCTCCGTCTACCGACTTACCTCTCTGCGCCTCAGTCCCAGCTGTGAAAACGGGAATAGCCACAGTAAGAAGAGCAAATGTTTTTTTGAGGCCTTACCATGTGCTGAGCTCTGTGCTTAGCGTTTTTGGTGGATTATCTCTTTAATCAGAGGATTGCTACCAGCAATAAATGAGAATGAAGGCGAAGGACGCAACCCAGTGTCGCCCGTAACAGGTAGCTTTCCATCTCTGGCCTGTGATTTCTGATCCTAGCGCCGCCCAGGTGAGGCAGGAAAGAACACGCGTGCCATCTAGTGGCCAGGCTGGGGAACCGTCATCCACGGTCCACCCGCTGCATAGGAGCGCCAGGCAAGAATCAACGGCATCAATGCAAGTCCAGTTAGAGCCCTGTTTCCATAGATTCGAGCAGCTAAACTCTCTACTGCCTACGTTAGTAATAAAAACTAACACTGCGGGCTGTTCTAAATATTTTAAGTATGAGGTGAGTGCTCCTGGTCTCTCCATATTACAAATGAGGAAATTGAGTTTCAGAGAGGTTAAGTGGCAAATCCAAATACACATACTGCTAGGAAACAGCGGAGTCAGGATGCACGTTCAGGCCTGGCCGACTTGGAGGTCTCAGGTCCTGGAGCCCACCTACCTGTTCTTTGCAGTTTCCCACCTGGAGATTTTCATGCTCCTACAGGTTTCCCGCCCACTTCGCAAGATGGGCCCTCTCTGACGACAGGAACAGCCACCATAGCAGTAGCCCCAGCTAACGCGTGTATGCCCTTGCTTTGTGCCAGGCACTGTCCTAAACACTTCACACACACTCCTTCACCCAGTCCTCATGACAGCCCCAGGGGGTAGATGTGATGATTGTCCCCATTTCACAGGGAGAGTAGGAGGCTTCATAGCCCTCCTTGTCCCAGCTGCTCGACTCTGGAGTCTGGGCTGACAGCACCATGCTCTGCTCACCTAGCTGGAAGCTGGCTTCCCACTTGGCCTCCTGCATTTTTCCATGAGCTTCCCATTCTCCTTGAGTCCAGTGCTTTGCCCTGCACAACGGACCTCTGTTGTCAGCACTGGAAATGGGCTCTATTCCCTCCCCAGGTTTGGAAGGATTTGAGAAAGGGTCAGGTAGTCAGCTGAGGCCAGGATCTCACCTGAAACCATTCCTGTTGCCCCAGAATGTTGCCAGCACCTCATTTCCAAGGCACCCCTTCCCCACTCATTCGCCATCTCTCTTTTGCCTGGGACTCATCCAGAATTGCCACCATAACAGCCATCCCCAGAGCTAGGGCAAGCCAGCCCTTTCTGGTTGCACCACCTGTGACTTCGGGGACCTCTAGGCTTGACAGAGCAGATTCCACAAATATGCATTGAGCACCTGCTACTATGAGGCACTGGATGTTGAGGGATATGTACAATGGACTCTTCATCCCCATGGCATTTATGTTCTAGTGGGGGTGACAAAAAAATAAGCAATAAACAAATGTAAGCGTGTAACAATGCCTGAAGCTCCTGAAGAAGGTGAGGAGGTGTAGAGGGATGGGGGCACCATCGTATATCCCAAGGTCCAGACCCCAGGGTGAGGGGCTTGGTGATTGGACGCTGCCTTGCCAGTTCAAGGAGATGTGGGATAGCCAGGGTCCATCCTTAGTCCTGAGCTGGGTCTCGGTTTGTCTCAGGGAGAGTCAGTCTAGCAACAGTGAAGGGTCTGGCTACACTGCCAGCCAGCCTTGGCTGGACTGCTCTCTCTGCACTTACCATGTGTGGCACCCAGAACAAATTATTAAATTAAACCTTTTTGTGCCTCAGTCTTCCTGTCTGTGAGTATAATAATAACACTACTATTACTACCATTAAAATCACTACCCTCTAGGAGCCATATGAGGTTACATGAATTAACATATGTGATATGCTAAAGACAGTACCTACACACATAGTAAATACTGTTATTGTTCAGCTGCTAGCTGCAGGGAATTTTTTTTTTTTTTTTACACTCTGTCCTTAGTTCAACATAGTACAGAGAGCAGAGAAAGCCTTCCAGCAAGGCTAGAAAGTCTTGCCACTTATTTTGGGTACTTTAGCAAGTATTTTATCTCTCAGAGCCTTAGTTTCTTTAGCCACAAAAATGGATTAAAACTATCTTTCTATATCATGGCATCAATGCAGGAATTAAATATCATAGCAAATGTGACACATCTTAGTGCAGTGACTGGCCCACAGTAAATGTTAACCATTAAGATGACAAAGATGTTGACGATAGTGATTAAAAAAAAGAAGAGAAGAAAGGGGAAGAGGACGAGGAGGACATGGAGGAGGAAGAGAAAGAAGAGAGACTGGAGTCAGAAGCCTGCTCTCAGTCCAGCTCCGATATAACAGGTTTCTTATCTTGGGACTCAGTTTCCCCGTCTGTCGAATGTGGGGTGGTGGATTCACTTGCTGCTGCAGCTCCTTTTGGGTTTGATAGTCCAAGAAGCGTGGAATGCCTGGGCAGGGCTGAGGCCGGCCGAAGGACATATGAAAGTACACTTGTTTGATAGGTGTGTCAGCCTCGCTTGTTTCTGGAAGTATAATCACTATATTTGTTCAGTGCCCGAAATGCACAGACCCTATCCTTTCCTTTTCTCCTCTCACCATAGAAACGAGGGTGTACCCCACAGATTGAAAGAAACCTTTTTGCTCGGCCTTGATTCAGAGCTGCCCATGGCAGCCATTTCCCAACTGAACGCCAGAGGGCAGCAGAACCAGCGTATTTTCAGCTCTGGGTGGCTTTTTCTTTCCTCCAAAGAGAGAACACTAGTTGGACCACATGGCTTTGTTCAGACCTTGGGGCGCTTGAGAGGGTTACAAAGACTCAAAGGTTTCAAGTCCTGACAAAAAGGAGACAAAGACCAAAGTAGGCCACCAACCCCAAGCCCTTGCCACAGGGACTGTGAGGGACCCCCAGGCAGCACTACAAGGCCACGGAGCCGTCCCCAAACCCAGGTGCCTCTAGTGGTCCTGGTCGGTCCCGGTCTCCACCCAGAAGAATCTAGGAACACAGCCAGGCTGGAGAGGTGGCTAGTCACATAGGCTCTGGGGCCAGGCTGCCGGGATCCCAATGTTGCCACTGACTTCATGACTTAGGGACGTCAGGCAAATTGCTTAACCTCTTTGTTCTCCAGTTTCCTATCTGTAAAATGGCTATAATAACAATATGTACTTCACTATCATTTAGCGGCCATGAAGAGAAAATAAATCCTCCCATTTGCTGCAACATGGATGGATCTAGAGGCTATTATGTTCGGTGAAATAAGCCAGGCGAAAAAAGACAAATACCATATGATTTAACTTATTTGTGAAATATAAAAACAAAGCAACACAGAAGGGACAAAATAGCAGTAGACTCATAGACACTGAAAAGTGACTAGTAGTTACCAAGGGGGAGGGCTTGGGGCAGATGTGAAGCGGATAGAAGGGCACAATAATTCACAGTCACAATAAAAGTTGGTCATGGGGACAGTAGTACAGCATGGAGAATATAGTCAATGATTCTGTAACATCTTCCTATGTTGATAGATAGTAGATGCACTAAAGAGGGTGAGAATTTAATAATATGGGTACTGTTGAACTACAGTGTTGTACATTTGAAACCAGCATAAGATTTTATATCAATACTTCAATTTAAAAAAACAAGTACAACTTAAAAATAATAATAATAATAATAATATAATAATAATAATATGCACTTCAGAGTATGTGAGAATTAAAAAAATCAAATGTATGAATAGCACTTAGAATAGTCCTTGGCACATAACAGGTGCTTGGTAAATATTTGGTACCATTATCATTGTTGAAGGCTAAGTGATAAGGGGTGACAGGCCTGGTACATGCTGTCTCCAGGCAGCAGCCCAGCTCTGCCTTTGAATCTACCCCCTCATCCTCTCCCCAGACCTCACTTGAAGTTAAGGCATGGTCTCCCAGAGGCCTCTGGGTATGGCCTATGTGCCATCAGGGTAGAAGGGGGACCCAGGCCAGGCCTAACAATTAAGAAAAGGTGTTCACCAGCTGTCAACTTGAAGAGCAGAGACAAGGCTTAAGGAATTGAGACCCAAGAAAGGCAAGTTCTGGGGCATAGGGGGTCAAGGTTCTGGCGTGGCTCACTTCCTGGGAAGAGGCAGACCTGAGCAAGGCTGTGAAGCAAGCAGTGTGTGTGCACCAGGGGCTAAGGCACAGAGACTGCAGAGGACCAAGCCTTCACACTTGTACCTACACTTTATACTGCCAGAAGGGTGTACACATCCTGGCCTTGAAGCCAGGGGGTCTGAGCTCATGTTTCATCTCTCCCACCCACAAACCGTGTGGCTCTGAGCAAGTTGCTGATGCTCAAGTCTCTGGCTTCTCATCTGTGAAATGGATGAGCCAGATGACCCCTTGCCTGCCTCCTTGGTTAG